CTACATTTTGCAAAGCAGAGTTGTACAGTGACTAACAATCCTTCAGATCTGTTTCATGTCTCCATTGTTTTTTATTTATTGATACCTTCATTTACATATGGGATATGCTTTCCAGTATTTCTGCCTTTGAGCCCAACTGTCTCGGGCTTTTTTTCCTTTAAAGTAAGGGCCTTTTCCATTAAATTATRCTTTTATGGCTTTTTAAATGGAAAGAATGGAAGTAGCTTGTTTTCTGTGTATTATGACTTCTGTAAACATTTTCAKTTTGGTTTTTTTCCTCTTGCTCTGATGTGTAAATACAGTTTTTCTCTGAGCAGGAGCTYGTGATCTCAATTTCTTTTCTTCATGGGCGACCTTCTAATTTCCTGATTTTAGAACCTGCTTTAGAAGTTCTGTACATAATTCATTTTTTCAGAAGGCAGTTCACATCTGCATACTGTGAAATTTATTCTGGGGGCAGCAGTGTCARTCTGTCCTGTTCCATTAGACTGTACCAGGGAAGATCTGGTACCTTCCTTCTGTTTATGTTCATGTGCAGTTAAACACTGTTCAGCTTTACTTTTACTGGTGTGACATCGAGTAACTTTGCCTGTAGTCCAAACTATGGACACCTGTTCCAACTGCCTATAGATTTAAATGTTTTACTGTGTTACTCTTCTCTCCTTTGCAGTAACACTTAGGTTCTCTTTGACTAAATATTAGGCTGACTTTCAACCAATTGGTATTCTTTGTCTGAGGAATATAAATCTCTTCCTATGCCATATTGTCTGTATAGTTTCAAAGCTCATAATTTTGCGTATTTCCAAAGTCCATTCCTCTTAAGTTCGCTGGTTTGTACTCAGTGTGCTGCTGAACMAAGATGATGACTGTAAAAGGAAATAACTCAGCTGTAGGAGTTCATTTTTCATCCTTTCCTTAGTTTCAGATCGTGTTCCTCTGAGTCCTGGGATCAAATCCCCAGAGAAGAGCCCCAAGGAGCTGCGTGTAAAGAACAATCCCACCTGTGGCCTTCTAAAACTGCTGTTCTCCGTCTGGAAGGAGGACTTTGGAACATCTGTGCCTGTGCAGCTGATCTTCAGCAAGAAGAACATTGGTTATTTGGCAGAAGTGGAGCAGCGAGAGGTAAAGCCTGTTCTGATGTGTGAGCTGGGCTGCCCTTGTGCAGGAATTCTGCCCACCCACAGTGCTCACTGTGCTCGTGTGACTGAGGCCAGCAGGCTTTGGTCACTGCTGGCTGCCACTGTTTGTGTGGAGCAGTGAGAGGAGGAATGTGTACAACTTGTCAGGGATTGTCCCCTGCCTKGGGGGCTCTWGGGAATGCACAGTTTTGCTTAGGARCCAATGGCAAAATGGCCCATTTGGCCTAGGATATTGCAAGGACTGGACACACGTGGCTGTCCTTGGTTGCATTCTTGTGTCTTTTATCAGCTTGCAATTCTGCAGGCATGTTGGTGTTGTAAGCATCCGAGCCAAAGCTGAAAATCACCCTATTTAGTTGCAGGCTAAACCCAGCTTATTTCAGAAGTAAAAGAAATAATTTTCACACTGTTCTTGATCAGGCAGGAATTAAATACTTGGTGTGTTTATAAATTGAGAATTTTGAGACTACAGTAGGATACAAAGTATGCAYTAAAGGAATTTTTTTCACTCATTTTGGATGTTGCTCCTGTCATAGTCACACGCAGATAGCTAATGTGTTTGTTCATTTTCTCCACATTCTGATCCAAAAAGAAAAGTGTGAATTTTATATGGATAAGGAAACAAGCACAAAATTAATTTCCTTTTGAGTTGTTGATATTTTCTTCTCTCGTGCAGTGGGATTTGTTCCTTTTCTTGCTTCATGGTCTTAYAGAACATGGACTAATGAGAACTAGTGAGATCCAGAGCTGCCTGCATAGCCTTGAAGAGCTCCCTTGGCCCTCAGTAAGTAACTGGATGTGCATGAACAAAAAGTGAAATAAGAAGTAAAGCTGTATGAACAGCCAATCCTTGTATTTCTGTTTCATGTAGAGAAGGCCCATAACCTTCCCATCTGTCATTCCTGCTTAATGCAAAGGAAGGACTGGCTCATTGCTGATGTTTGGCTGAAAGCTGTGCTTGTATGAATCCAACATTGCCCATGCAGTGGAAACATTTCCAAGACAATTATAAACCAGTTTGGAGACAAGCTGGCTCCGTTACCAGCTCTCAGTTCTAGCTGAGTGTCCTTGTTGGGTTCCAGCTGAGTATGACAGATTGTGGAGGGTCTTAGCTGACCAGTCTTAAATGTAAATCCCTGATGCCTCCTACCAGCAGAATGTGAGAAGAGTTGGAATGTTCTAGAGGAGTCTCACTATTCTGGCCACAGTCAAAATGTAGGACTCCACCCAAATGTCTTGCTAAAAAGGGACAGTGTTTCAAGGCTGGTGAGCAAGTGTGTGTTGGAGCTGTTTAACCTTTTAAATTGGGCAGCGATCTTATGTGGGAAGAGTGTGGGGGTCAGATGTGACACTGAGCATGTCTGCAGGCACTCATCGTCAGTTCTGTAGCTTGCCTAGGTTTTTGTAATGGAAAACCATCAAATGTTTAACCTTGTAATGTTCTTCATAGAAAAATCAAGTCAGCTTTTTTTGGTAATATTTGTTAATATGGGTTCTCTGGTTTGTATCTGTTTGTTACAGGATTTCATAAAAGACCTGAAAATGCTGTCCCGAGTATTTGTATCAGAACATCAGATAGAGGAGCCCAGGACTAACCCCTCTGAGCTCACCAGACAATCTCTAGGTRCTGTGGCCACACACAGTTAGCACAGGTGGACTCTGTGGACAAAAATTACTAACGAAGATGCAAATGGAATTTTTAGCATTTCTGAAAGCTCTTTGCTGGGAGCACACTGAAGATAAGAGGTCACTTTGTGCAAAACCTGCACTGGGCTTTCTGTCGTGGACATTTTGCCATGGTGTCTCTGCTGAAGGATCTACATCAGCAAATGGATCTCCAAGTCAAAAGTCCTTTAAGCACCTTGATTGTGTCTCAGAGCAGCTGTTCAGACTCAGAGACACTTTTTGTATTTGTTCAGCAACAGGCTGTGACCAAACGCAGGAATCAACTCAAGTTACTTTGTGATCAGAGAGATGGTTTCTTGGTGGCTGTCTCTACCCTCAACTCAATGTGACTTCTCACGTTGTCTTTTAACAAAGCCTCTACAGTCAGGGGAAAGAAGAGGTGAACCTATACGACACAGAGATGTGCCTATATTTATTTTTCATTGTAAGCTYAGTGTTGAAGGTTTGATTTTAAGTGTTTTTCCATCTCTTGTTGGAAACAGTACTTGTAATTTCCCAGGGCTTTTAATATAGAAATAAGGGATAAAATATCTGTTTATATTTTTTACTGAAGACAGTATTTTTAAGACACTTTTATATTTGTGAACATAAATGGCATCTGGCTGCTATTCACTGTTTTTTTGTAATTTTTCTTGCCTTGAGTTTGGGTTTTATCAGTCAGGAAGTKCTGCAGCAAGAAAACTACAGCCGGGAAGAGCAAAGTAGTGAAGAAGCACTGTGATGTTCCCTGGAGAGTGGGTTTTGAAAGGAGCCCATTTCTTAGAGGACGCTGGATATTCTCTGCCCTTACAGACAGATTGCCACCAAGCCTGTGACTTCCTGTTCACACCACTTTTCCTCACCTGTTTTCTTGAGCTGGGGTTTGGGGCAGGGACTGCTGGTGAGTAGAATATGTTTAAGTGCTCATSAGCTGTCCCATGGGGTTCCCTCCCCCTGCCCCACAGCAGTGAGGACATTATTTCCTGTTGTCTGGGAGTGTCCCATTTGTGTAGGTTTCTCCAGAAAGCAAGTTCTGTATTTAAGAATAGCCTCTGGACTAGATGAAGCCCAGGACTGCTCAGCTTGCTAATTAACTAACCTCTTCCCTGTATAAGGTRAGAGAAGGAACATCTTGGAGTCAGTGATTCAAAAAAAAACTACAGACAGGACTCATTAGGTAGAACTGTGGTTTCTGTTAAAATTCAAACCATGTGGTTCAAACCATGACAATGTGATACGAAAGAGAAATCATAGAGGCACATCAGTGTCTGAATTTTTTGGTGATTTTTCTTATTTACTAAGCACTGTATGGAAAGATTTCACAGGTTCCATCTGCATTCCTCATTTTAGGGATTTTCTGATTTGAATGGAAGAGTCYCTAAAAGTAGGCATGCTGCAATACAAATACAAATGGAACAATTCAGTACAAATTTGACAGCAAGTTCACTGTATCATGCCCTACCTGCTCCCTGAGGCTATTATGTGATGTTTTGCTGCCGATCTCATTTGAAATTATTGTTTGTCATAATAAACATTATTAAATGTCTTGTGTTCAGGCTGTCAATATAGAACCTCTTGGTACTAGGCTGAAAAGCAAAATGAGGACCTTGCCAAAAACCATGGGGCAGATAAAGTACAGTACAGACCTCCAGTCTGGCCTGTTGTGCTGCCATTGAAATAGAACTCTACTTTGTTATGTAAGGGAGGGCAGAGTGGTGGAAGGGGGAAGAAGCTGGAATTCCTATTAATAGAAGAAAAGGTTCTCTTAGCTCTGGCACTAATTTTATTTGGGATCATAAAACTGTTTGCATAGATATCATGGCCATTTTCATGAATTCAGCATGCTGGATTTCCCCTTCTCTAATGCAACATGTTTGGAAGTTTTTAAGGTGAACAAGCCCCAGGAGCAGTTTCGAGCAATCAGAGAATGCTGTTGTGGGGCAGGAGACAGTTCAGCAGTGGGACCCAGCAGGTAAGAAACACCTCTGTTTCTGTGTTCTTATGGCTCAGTGCAGTGACTCTGGTTCTTGGGCATCCACAGCCTCAGGCACATGTGTTCTGTAACACCAGACACCCCAGACTGCAGCCAAGTTGTGTAACAGGACTCAGGAAGAAGCTCCAGCTACTGTCTCCTTTTTTAAAATAACTGAAAAAAAAAAAAAAAGAAAGAAAAGAAAGAAAAGAAAGAAACCCCTTTGCTTGGACAAAGCACTGTCCCAGGACCCAGATTTAAGCAATGACTGACTTCTTGGTTCTCATACCCAAAGTTCATATTCTGTGCCCATTCCTCAGCAGGTAAGTAGGAGACCGACATCTGTTATCACAAACTTGCCTTTRTATTGTTTTTCTTTCCAGCACACTTCCATAGATGGGTATCTCAGCTGGAGCAAAATAAGGTGGGCCACATTTTCTTGTGTAGAAAATATCATTTATTGTGGATATGAAAATAGCAACCTTGATTTAGGAGCAGAGATGCAACCCTAGGTGGTACAATACAATTGGTTTGATCATCTGCTGCTCAGCAGTAACTTACTGAAGAAGTTGGTTTTTGCCTGTTGTAGCTTACCAAATTGGATATCTGCTGGGCTTTTGTTTCTTCCTTCCAAACAAACCAATGCCATACATTACCAAGTACCATAAAATGTTGTATTTGCAAAAGAAAACATTCATATAAATAGGCTTTTTAGTATCAATTGAAGATTGTATTAAAAAAAAAAAGTTACGTTAATTCAATACTGATAAAAATAAAACTTAGCTTTGATAGCATATAAAAACACTTCAAACCAAGCATATATAAATAACTTAATTTGTAAACATAGAAAAAAATATTAAGTATATATAAAAATAAACATCTGATGCACTGTACAGTAAGACACTATCCTTCATAGGCACTGGCATCATTGATCAACAGGAATCCCCCGAGATGTTTTTCCTACAAAAACTGCTTTATCACTAGTGCCGTGTCTAAAGTAAAAGAAGCAAAGCACTGAGCAAATCTTTAGTGGGTTGCATGAAGACTCTACCTTCTCTGGACATCTATGGAAGCAGCACTGGGGACAGAGCCAATATCCTGTGCTGCTGGTTCTGCTCATTATTCCTGGGGCTTAAATGTACAGCCTTGTTCACTCTTCCTTCTGGGTTTCCACTGAAGGGGGGACATTGACAGGTTACAAATCTGGAAATCGCTCAGTTGCAGAAAACTTTTCAGTTTTCGCTCAGTTGCAGAAAACTTTTTGCCAGATTACCCATTCTTCCTTGAGGGGTGTGTAAGATGTGTGATGCTCTAAGTGAACCATGCTCAAACTGACTCAAGCTTTTAGGAAAAGGCCAAACCTCACCAAAAACAGAACAGTAATATATTGGTGTTAAGATTGTAACCATGATTATCCGAAGATGAAACAAAGCAAATTTGTAAGTGATAAGGTTTGGATATCCTACCTGATCGAGTCTGAGGAGGAAGCCGTGGGCTGGTATGTATCAAAACTGCTATCTTCTTAAATATCTTTTCATTTAAGACTCACCATATTAGAAACCTAGAAGTAACATAGAAGCTGAGAGCCAAAATTACCCCTGTGCAAAGATGTAGTAAACTAGATCTTGGCTCTTGAACTCAAAGGTGGAAAGGACAGCTAACTTCAGCATATACTGGGAAAATGCTCCCTGTACTGAAAGTAACTGGTTAAAGTAGCAAGCACTGACTGCACTAGGGTGGATGCTCGAGTACACATTTCTCACTTGACAAATTCAAGGCAAGAGCTTCTTGAACAATGTGGAACTTCTTTTAGCTTATGAAAGCATAGCATAGCAGCTTTTATTGCTTAGATATTCTAAAGTGATTCTGTACTGTTGTGCTGAAGAATTAAATGAAGTTATTTGGATATTTGAGGTGGTCACGGTTTTGTTTAAATTTAGGAATATGKGAACCAGCTAGGGATTGTGTTGAACAAACATGTAAAGCCTGACAGCAGGAGAGTTGGACTGTTTCACAGAAGTCCCATGAGGTAATTGAATGGGAAGAGTCTGTACTTGCTGCAGTGAGACAGCTGGTCACACTAGGAACAAAGAAATGTGGTAAGACTGTGACCAGGCTATRTTTTCAGCTCTTAATGCATTTGGGTCCAAGTGTAGAAGGGCTGATGAAAAAAGCCATTGTTGAAAAATGTTGGAGCTACTCTTACTTGCAGGATTTAAATTCTAGAAACAAGCTGATTACTGAGTGCTACCCTATCCATGACAGTGTCACTGTTTAGAGCTGTTTGGTTTCTTTATTTCAAAGCACCTGATTTTGCAGCACAGTAGAACTGTGTCCTGAGGTATGGTGGTGTCCACTGATGCTGCATAGTGGCAATCTGAAACACCGTACACTGGCTGCAAGCAGTCAGCCAAATACAGGAAAARAATCTATCCAGGGTGGAGGATGACCAGTGAATATTGCACTGCTTTAACTTCCCTCTTCAAGGTGAAGGAGGATAGGCAGCCAGCTAAGAGAAATTATTTATCTGCACAGTCAGGAATTCTGCATTTGGTACTTATCATTAGGAAGTGGCTTTGCAGCTCTGCTCAAGAGCTTGCAAAAGGGCTCAGGCCACAYAGATACTGCTTCCAGCCTAAAATTACTTAAAGAAGTTGATCTCTGAAGCCACTTGGAAACAGGAATTACATAATACACTCTATGATTCTTGTAAAGCAAAGTCTCTTCCTCTGCTCTTTATAGAGCAGCACACTTCTCATCCCTGGAGGTTTTCCACTRCTGTCTCCAGGACAGGCTCCCCACRAAACTTGCCGTGTTTCTTCTAAAGCAGTATTGGCTAAAACAAGTGAGCCTTTTCTCTGGCTGTACTTCCATATAGTCCAGCAGTAGCACAGGCTCCTCAGGTGAGGCTTGGTGGGGGCTGCCTTGGGAGGCAGCATTTTCCATGTCCCTTTSTGGCTGTCAGCTGCTCCTCAGTGTCCAGCAGTGTCCCAGCACGGAGCAGTGAGCAGGTGAGCCAGSCGAGCAATGACCAGGGGCTGCCGCTTGGCCATGGAGCTCAGGAGCCTGGCAGGGATGGCCGGGGCACCAAGATCCACCTGCAGCAACCAGAAGAAAAGCTGCATGTTGGGGTTTGCACCTGCTTTCAAACAGAATACTTCTACAGTCTGAAACAGCTCTGTAAACCCAGTAGTTTACAGCCAAATACTATCATAACTGTGTGATTTGTGTCTTTTCCCTCTCAGTACTCCACAGGCTTTCACAGCTTTGCTATTTGATGTTGCTCCTAGCAGGTATGACCCACTTGGCTTTAGTTTGAGACACACAGTGTTACTGAAAATGTATATGCATATACTAAAGGGCAATGTAAAATGAATATAAAATTTTAAAATGCATATATACATTTCATCTATGCCTTGTAAAATTCATGTGCTAATTAATGCTAATCTTTAAAATTTATCAAGTTTTAAATAGATGAATTTAAAGCACTAATGTAATTAATCTCTACATAAGCATTCATACAAATTTTACACATTAAGGCATTCTCTTCTGGATATTTTTAAATACTTAGTACCACTGYCTCAAAGAGAGTCTGCTTTTCAAATGAGTCTAAAAAATGGATGAGAAGATTTTAATTTTCCTATTATTTACTGGAATCCTAATCTTGWCTTCTCTTTTGTGTCTATTAAGTGAAGAATTAATGACTTTGGGTAGAAAAATGTACAAAGTATTTTCAGGCATTTTGAAAATAGTATAACCCAAGGTGGACTTCCTGTGTCCACAGCAAGATGAAAATGCAAACAAGACTCCCCATGTTGGCTCACCACATGAGAACACAACCTATGCTAAAATTGCTAATAAACCTTTATGGAAGAGCTTGGCATCCAAGGAAGCAGCTTTGGATGTTGTGAAAACTTGGGAGCACGCACTTAAACACAATCCTAGTAAGATTCTCTGCATTGCTAGATAACAGTGTAAAAGAGAGGCAACTTGTGGTCACTTCATGAAGTTCATGGAGCATAGAAGGATTTCTTTTTGTTGCTTACCAGCTCTTAAGTGTTCTGTGTAACAGCTTTTTGCATTCACAGTTGGACATACAGCAAAACCTTACCTGTGCCATGTAAATAACTCTGGTGATCTCTCTTCCRTTCACTATGTCAGGTTCCAGAATCCAAGCACTTGGCAAAATCTCCCCTCTCACTGCTTCTTTACAAGGGTGAGGCATGGATGCATCATAGACAGACTGAATAGCCAGGACAGACAAGTTCTCCTGCACACGACAAAGTGTAAAGATGACAATTTGAAAAATGTTATGCAAATAGCAATGTTTTCTTTGTTTGCCATGAGGCCTATTTCTCCCATGACTTACTAAGAAGAGTAATAATGCTTTTTATGTCATCTCTTAAACATGTTTTTGTCAAAATCCTGTGTGTTTGTAACCAGAATATACTGTGTAATACTTGTCTAATGGGGCCTGGTTGGCAATTGCCATTCACAAGAGGGTTTTACACATAATTCACTTGTGTGATACTGGCATGGCTTTCCTTGYTGTTACAGTGGTGCTTCTGCAAATATGAAGATTGACTTTTCTCTCCTTTAYCCATAAACCAGGATATCAGAACAGCTCCTCTGTGCTGCAGAGAGAATGTTCACTTTACCTCTTTGGCTTCCACAGTAATGCAGCAGAAATCCCGRGGTTGCTTTAGGTAACACAAGGAGGTATCAGTCACTAAATATACTGGGGAGAAAAAAACAAGAAAGGAGAATTAACAATTGACAATCTAATTGACAATTTGAACTTGTCAATTTYCCCATACCCCTTACCTGCAGATGCATCTTTTATTTGACTTGACTTGAGCCCTGGGAGGAGAGCTGTAGTTCATACTTAGTAGTATCTCATGTAAAATGCTTTTTCAAGCCACTTCAGGTTTATCTTCACTTTCTAACCACTGTCTCTAGCTGCATTTCTCAGCAAGATATGTTTAATATCATCCTTACTTTGAAAAAGTCTTGCAAAGCTGAAGTTCCCATATTGAATAATGAAACTGTTTACGTACACTCAAAGAARTGAAATGAGATGCCTCTGCCTTCCTTCCTGGCTGCCTACATTGTGATGGTGATTGTTGTGTGTGAGGATACTCACCCAGGTGAATGTGGCTGGTCACCTTCTTGTGAATTCGGGCTGTGTTGATAGAGCTGTCGTACAGATGCCTTTTGCCAGGATCTCTCACCAGGCCCCACACACAGGGCAGAGGTCTTTCTATCACTCCTGCTCCCAGAAACCCGTGCCTTGTTGCTGAAGGGAAGACTTTGTAGTACACCTGCACCTCTTTTTCTGTRCACTGATACCTGTCAAAGGCAAATGAAAGGTGTTTGTCCACAGGAGGGCCAGGTACAGRGACAGGCCTCCTGTTATACACACCTGCCATAAACTTACTTCCACCCCGCTGCTGCTTGGCACGTGTAGAGGTTCCTCAGGTTGTGAGAGCATGCTGCCATTACCTTAGAAAACAATGACAAATGACACCAGCTTAACTCAAACATTGCAGCCAACACCCCACTCTTGTGCTCCCCATGGMTGCAGCCTGGCTCCCTTTCACCCATCCTTTAAAGCTGTTCGGTGTGWGCGTGTCTGTACTTGGCAAATAGTAAACCATTGGTGATGTAGGGCAAGACTTGTCCCACCCATTTTTGCTATGACTTCCAAAAGGAATAAGTGAAAATGCAGCTTTTGCTTACCTCGGTGGTAGCATTCGCCAAGATATGTTTGGATAAATCTTGGTATCCTTTTGTTGAAGAGGAGTTGACAGAAATAGTTAATCCATGAGTGAACCTACAGCTGGTGCCACTTGAAGGAAGAGGTGGCTGAATTCTGCTGGCTTCTGTGGGAAATCAAAAAGGCAAAGGGGGAATAAAAAAATTTAAGAAGGAACCCCACCACTATTCTTAAATTGTAGGGACTTAAACTCTCCATTGAAGGCCCCAGTCCATCTGATCTTAATGAAGGAGTGATAACACCCYTTGCCTAGATATTCTGTGTGTTGGTAATTACACTGCAGTTACATCTTGCAGTACTGAAGTTTTAATGTTTATTGCCACATGTAAGAAAATAAGGAAGAATAGACAGCTTAACTCTTGAGGCTAAAAATAAGAATTTGCATGTATAATTCTATTGCAGCTTTAGGCCCCCTACCCCTTCCTTCCTTCCTTCAAAACATTATCCTCATATTATCTCAAGATGCTGTACTTTTATGTTACCACWTCAAAAGAGCAACTTCAGAGGAAGCAAATCACCATTTACTTTTTAAGGAAATTCTGGACAAGCCCTGGCTATTGGTTGGTGGTATTTCTCTGAAGTCATGCAATGGGGCATCCTTGCAATACCTAGATTCAGACTGGATTTTGATTTGCGTAAGTGACAAATCTTATTAGGCTTTGGGATACAACTCAAAATAAGTATTTTGAGCATACTCAAAATGTATGTTTTACTTACCAAATGTTGAATCCTTATGTAACTGCTCTGATGTATAAAGCTGACTATTTCTAACAGCTGAACGACCTCGYGCATCTCTTGAAACCAAAGTATTTCCAGAAGAAATCTGATTAAAAAAAGCACAGAAGTGGGAGCTTTTGATTCAACCAAGAAAAATAAATTTTGCTACATAGGCAGTGGAACATCAGTAGCAAATCTGAATAACAAGGTTTGAAGCTTTTCTTTATCATAAGAAACACCTTTGCCCTCTCCCTGATTATAAAATGCATGTATTGTAGAGGCAGGCATGCTAAGATTATCAGATTCTATCGCAAGAAAAGGCCTATTGTTTCTAAAACATTTGACAGATCACTGATAGTAATGATCTGATTTTTTTTTTTAATCTATTAGTTACAAAAGAAAAATAACCTGAAAAATAAGTGTCACTGCCCTTTGCAATTACATGGCAAAATGCTCCCTCACCCCATCTCACCCCTCTGTGTACTGGTGCTGCAAACTTGTCCTGCTTGATARCTGTGCCAGAATACAAATCATCTGAAAAACCATCTCTGTTCCTGCATTTTGTCTCTGTGGAAGCATCAGGAGGCATCGGTCTCACAGCCCAGGGGTTTCTCACCTGCCCTTCCTGGCTGCTGAGGTTACTTGCAGTGTATGCAGCCGTGTTGCTGCTGTTGTAACCAGATGTTGGGCCAGAGGAGAGGCTGAGGCTGGAGTCTGTACATAAAGTGCTTGTGCTTGCAAGAGTCCTCAGTCTTGCTTCCTCCTGTAATAGGCATCACASTATTACAAACCAAAGAAAACCACCCCAGCACTGAAAGCTGAAAGGGATAATCTAAAAAAGTCCAATTTCTTTCAAGGAGTGTTGACAAAAACTTGCCATACAGAGAGCATTAAATAAGCAGATTTGTTTGAAAGCCTAGGATTACRTAAACCATAGAGTGAAAGACTTTGTAAAACTTGGCAGCCTGAAAAAATGCAGCTTTTGCTATTATTCTTAACATATAAGATTGGAGATTATCAAACTATCAAAAACTAGGATGCTTTTAAGGGGAAGAAGTTTTATAAAAAGATCTCTTTTCAATTCCTCTTTGTCGACTTCCCAGGCCCCTGACTCAACTTGCTGGTCAAATGCAGTTGTTAAAGACTGAAGATTTTACTTTACAAATGCAGATTTTACTTACTCAGTGCTAGAAGACCAAATAAAAATTACATTTAAAAAATACTGAGAACTTCAAGGTTATTTATACTTTCAATATAATGCTCACTTTCTGTAACTGAGAAAATATTTGTTCCCGTATCCGCCTTTTTTCTTGCTCTGCCCTCTCCCGCAGTTTGTCCCTAGCTCGTGCAATTTCAGTTTTGGTTTCCTCCCGTGCCCTCTGATAGTCTCGGAGCAACAGTTCAATGTCTGAAGGCTGCTGAACRCTTCTTCTTTTTGGTTCTTGAACTCTAAAAATGGACAAGTAAGGGAAAACACACATAATTACTCAAAATCATGTCACCTAACACAATACCATAGGAAAATAATACTTCAACGTAGAACAGGACCATCTGCCAGAAAAGCAACTAAAACCTGTTGTTTGTCAGCAGTCTCCAAAAAGCTTCTCTTTTCTCACTAAAGACTAGACATTAGCCTTGGAAAATCACTCAGATTGCAAGTCCACATAACCACTGAGATTACTGCAGTGATTGCACTGGTGTCTGGATCAGGTCTCCACATTATCTAAGGTTATGGCTTTGGCATGTCATATTCAAGTTTATTGTGTTGGGAAAGTAACTGTCTCCTGGGCACAAAGGAAGCAAAAGTCATTTAGGGAATATAACAGGGAACAAGAAACTGAAATTCTAAATATTAAAGTGTTGCAGAGCTTTCCTGATATTTAAATGAAACTGAACTCTGTGGCTTTTAAGTCAGTGAAAGAGTGTCCTGGTTCCTGCSAGGACAGGGCTAATTTTTGAAGGGGACATGGCCAGGACACAGAGGTTATTCTGTACCACCTCATATCATCTGTAGGGGTGGGGGAAAGGGGTTGTTCTGGGGAGAAGGTGTTCCTTCCTGTCAAGACATGGCAGAGGGAGCCATCCCATATTGTCTCTTGTCAGGGGGTGCTTTCCATTTGAATTATTTCTTTTCCTATACCTAAATCGCAACAAGGAGTAAGAGGACAGATTGGTCTCTWATCAGCCCAACCTAAATACTTGGCTGTCCCCATACATCATACTCAAGTAATAAATTAAGCACTTGTTAATAGCTGAAATAACACTAGACCCAAGATTTTAATGAATGATTTCCAAAATCAGGCATGTGTTTTTCCTGAATGCATTTGCTCTCCCAAAGGTTAATGCATCCACATTGAGAAGAATTCTGCCAGTGAAGTCTTGGATGCAGTGAGAACCATCAATGTGCTCCCTTTGTGAACATTGTGAATGAACATCAGGCCTAAAGAGAGATTTCTAATGCCCTACCTGGTGTTTTCCACCACATCCCTTCTCAGCTGCTGCAGATATTCTCGGCGTCTGCTGGGGAGCTCTAGATCCCTCTGGCTTGCATCCAGAGTCTGGGACAGACTCAAATGCTTTTGGGGACTCAGACTTCGGCTTCTTTGGTATCTTTGTAGCCTTTTTACTCTTTCCTTCCTCAGCGTTTCAATAGTTCTCATATGTCTGTTAGAGAAATGTGATTACAGTGACAAAATGCAGCCTGCTAAGTTACATTTTCAGATTTTTAAAGCACTTAAATATTATGTAGATTTATAATATAAAATCTTTATAGGAATCTAATACCATCTAATACCCCTTCGTCCACATGCTGAGAGATGATGCAGAAATTGTAAAACTTCACTGCTTTTCTAACAGCAGGAAATGTGCATGAGGATTGTGATTGCTGCTGGTAATGGCTGAGAAGCAAATTGAGAATGAAGACTAATGTAGCTGCCTCAAAATTTTGTTGCAACTGTTTCCTAACTGAGTTCTACAATCACAAGAATCAAGTATCTTGATTTCTTAAAAATTTATTTTGTATCTTTATGGGGGGGTTAAAAATTACTTTTGTTTATTCRTACAGCAGCATTTATTCACAGAAGCATGAATGAGATATTTCCAAAAAYAGGATGTATCAATTATTTTTACATTGYAATAAATCAATGAAATATATTYCCACATCACCAGGTAGCTATGATARCTCTTGTAGCTGCTAGRAATTTTAAGAGTGGGGTGACACTAGATTTGAATTACACCGAATCATTTTCTTTGCTTTCTTGGAGTAACCCCAAAATTTTGTCCTAAATGCATTGCTTGATGGTTTTAAAAATAAGCCTAATACTGTATCTCTTCACATATACGTCACTCAGTGTGACTAAGGGATTAAGTGCTCATTACTAAATGCTATTTAAGCTGGATGAACTGTATAAAAATACTTAAAAAAACCACTCCATTAAGTAATTTACCTTTCATAAAGTTGCTGCTTCACTGGGATTGCCACTGGCTCATCTGCAGCTCCTCTCTGAAGGACCCTCAGCAGGGCGTCCGTCTCCCCGATGCCATAATTGAGCTTTGCCTCAGTCAGTTCCACGGTGAGGGGATGCTGATGCAGATCCAGGTGAATGCCAGACATGATCTGGACACGCTCTCTCTGGAGTCTCTTGATCTCTCTGCTCCTGCTGTCACAAGACTGGTAATTCCCTTCCATTTCTGTTGACTGTGTGTTTCTAGGCTTCTTTTCTGCCTGACTTCTTAAATCGGTCACACTGCCACTCAAGCCGAGTAACAAGGGAGGGGGGCTGCTCTTAACACCACACCAGTTGCTGAATTTATTGTGCACRGGTAAGTCACGGAGGCTGTAGCTCCGAGGCCTGTGTGGCTTTGCAAAAGTGGTGTTCCTGCTGAGAGGGATTTCAGTGTCACATTCACTCTCAGTGACAGAATCTGTGCTGAAGGAGGTCTGCACATCGCTCACATCAGAGAGTGGGGGAGGGCAGCTGTTCTCATTCTTCCAKAAGAAATCACGAAATTGTAGAGAAGACGCTTCCACCACAGGTTCTGAGGACGTGCCAGCATTTGTCTTACTTGAACAAGYGGCACTAATTTTTTGATTAAGAAATAAACCATCATTTGGAGATGGATAGTCATGAATCAAAGCAGTATCAGAACTCCCAGTGTATTTTTCATGCCCAATTCCAGCTGAAGAGCCTCTTCCTTCCCTTGTAACATACATACAACGAAGCGAATGTGCCACGGAGCCGTGGTCTCTGACATCCCCTGTTCCAAGTTCGCTGTGGCCCGACACCTCCAGCGTACTGCTGGAGTGATACAGGCGTTCTGCACAAATGGTGGTGTGCGTGTCAACCCTCAGTCTGTGCTGCTCCAAGCCTTTTGAACCATCCTGTCCTAAAAGCTCTTGGGCAGCTTTCTTCTCTGAGAAACTTGCAGGTTTCTTTCTTACGCATTTGTGTTCTCTAGAGGTGCTTGATTCACTGTCTGTTTCTGTCTGTGAAAAATTGTCCACATGACGGTGCACACTGGACTGTGCACCCACCCTCTGCTTTCTCTGGCTGTGAAGGGGACTTGAGGMAACACTGGAATATCCAGGGGGTTCCTTATTAGGGCAGACAGACTTGCTAAAATTCTGGCTGCTGGGACTAGCACTGAGAGTAAGAATAGGGGACGAAGCCCTATCGACTAGCAGGGTGTTTTTGTACCAGAATTTTCTTTCTGCTGGAGTCTCTATTTCACTGACACTTCTTTTATCCTGAGCGTAAGATGCTGGAGATTGAGAGGTGCTATTAGTGGGGCTGCTAACTACAGTGCATGAAGAACCATCTTGCCCTGAACTTGGCAAAGATGATGTGAGAGGTGAAACTCTGGTACCAGCAAAAGCAGCGGCGTTCTGCTGTGCATTTAATGATGTTTTCTGAAAATGTAAGATAGGAGTGGAAACTTTGGGTAAGAGAGGCAGATTCATAAAGGAGTCTTCCAAAATGCTGTCAAGACTATCATGGAAGTCAGAATTTCCCAGGCTTTTCATCCCTGTTTGCTCCTGTGTTCTTTCTTCGGGAGAGAGTGTTTCCTCTTTCCTTTTGGGAATCTTTCCTACTGTACCTGCACCAATTCCTTTCCAATCGGCATTTACTGCCTGAGCTGCCCTTGATTCATTTTCCAGTTTTGCCTCCACATGTTTTTCTTTGTGTTTGCTTTGAGGCTCTTCCAAAATCTCAGTCTGAGTGCCTACGTCTGCTGTAGTCTGAGTGCAGCTATCTGACCTAGCAGCCTTTGCAGCACCTTCAGCTCCTTTTTGGTTGATTTTGGTATTCTGCTCATTATCTGTAATACTCTGCTGGGAGAGGTTTCCCAACAGCTCAGAAGTRTTCTGAAGAAGCTGTGACAGATGCATGGACAGGTTCTGCATGCTTGTCCAAGAAGAAGGTTGATGAAATAAATCTCTGTTTGTGTCCTCCTTTTTTGCAGAAACATCTGTATAGCTCCTCTGATGTCTTCTCTGCCTTTTATACCTTCCTGTAGTTGCTGTCTGTGTTCCCTGCTCACAAGTAACCCGTGGTGGTTTTTTGGAAGACCTTTCAGACTCAGAAGGATACAATAACACAATTTCATCAACCTGCATTGAGGAGTTACCAGGCTGTGCAGAAGGATTCTCAAGTTCAGCAGTGTTATTTTCTGAGTTAGTTTCCAGTGTTTCACTGGACCTGTTGCTGTACTGTTTGGTACTGGCACTCGAGTCTGTGGATTGAAARTCTTGTCTGACGCCATCCCATTCTTGAAGACCTTCAATGCTACTCAAAGTGCTGGACAAAACTTTGGCTGTAGCATATGAGCTTAGATGAGAACGAAAAGGAGAATTTTGGGAATTCAATCCATTGTCCACACTGGAACATCTCAAAACTTTACGATTCTCCATACTCAAAGGAATTTGATTGCAAGAGACATCACTTGCACTTCCAAAAACATACTGTTTCCAGCCAATCTTGCAGGCTCCATCTTGTTGCCACGGGTGAATGTATGGGTTGGTATCACTTGATATAAAATGCATTGCATCTTTATTATCTTGCAAAAATAAATCATTTTCTGGCTGGTATCCAGCTTCTTCTCCTTTCCCTTCACTACACTGAGCTACAGAACTGCTCTTTGACTGGACTTCTGCACCCACAGAACTGCGAGCTGTGGGCTGTAAGGATGATGGAGATGGACTAGTACAGTCTTTTAAAGACTGGCTACTTTGGCTTCTTGCTACAAAATTTTGTACATTTTTGGGATCACAGTTCGCAAGCTTCTTACTTTGTGCCACTTTTTGCTGAAATCTGGGTTTAGACTTAACTTGCAAAAAGTTCTTTGATTCCTGCTTTAAAAATCTTTCAATTCCATAAAGATCGTATTCAGTTGGTGATGGAGGCTCTACACTCATATTCAAGTCTTGTAGTGATTTAGATGCAGAATATGAGGAAGRATCTGCCTTAGATGAAGCTTCCAAAGTATATTCTGTATCAGAGAAAACTGCAATATCTGGAGCTGATACTCTGTGACTTTGTAAATAAGGTCTCCATTCACTTTGTTTACAGCCCTTTGTACTCCGTGTGGTAGAATATGATCTTTTTCTCCTGWATTGTACCAATCTGGATTCTTGAGGAGTCAAATTATGGTTTTCTGGCAAAAACTTCATGGAGGCCGTTTCATTATTCCTTGCAGAAAAATGGAGTCTTTCTGATTTCAGAGTTTTATTCTTTGTTACAGCGTCTCCCACTGTTGAACGAGTGTCTGCCTCAGCATCAGCAGTAGAGCTATCAACACTTGAACATATATTATTTTTGCAAAGTAAAATCTCTTTCCTATCATCTGTACCTGTTCTGCCTGGCACCTGTTCTGTCTGCTCACCTGTGGGCACATACTGACAATTATCTTGCAGATCTGCAGAGTTTCTTTCCAAAGCCAAGCCAGCRTGATACCTGGGATCAGTGCTGTATGTGGGATATGCTGGAATAAATGAATTGCAGGTGTATTCAGGAGTCACTGGAACATCTCTTGGATACAGATTCYCCAACACTGTAACTTCTGAGCCTATGAATTCATTTGGAGAATTTGAGGATACATTAGTGTGCTTTTCAGCRGRTTCTCTATTTGATGTTTTTCTCTGYTCTGTCTTTACTGCAAAATGTTCAGCCTCAGCATTTGAATGCAGTTCTTCCTTATTTCTGTTAAGTGTRTTTCCCATTTGTTCCTCTTTAACAACAACTGCCCTTCTAGTATCCCAAAAAGRTAATGATGGTAGTAAAAGAGAATTATCATTTGTTATTTTCTTTATGTGTTCTTTGCAAGCTTYTTGTGGTGGAACTTCATCCCAGTGATGCTGACCAATTTTTGAATCTTGGTCAGTTTTTCTACTATTACTTCTGTGCACAGATTCCCCATCTACAGCAGAATTTTCATACGAAGTACAATCTGTGTCTGACACTGGACAATGCCTGTTTTCTTTTGCAAGAGAAAGTAAAATACTTCCTGAAGCACATATTGGCTCATCAAACACCACAGCTTTATCAGAYTGAGTGTCTTGTATTTGCAAAACAGCAAACTGAGGTTGTTTCAGTATATTTGAATGTGAAGTATCATACGTGCTAGTTTCACCAGGGCCTGTATCTACAGTTAAAGAAGATTCTGAGAATGCTCCTAAGGCTGGATGATTGACACTTGCAAATGATGGAGAAAAATCTCCTTTGACAGAGCACACACCAGCAGAACTGCAGGGCACTTTCTCAGTCAAACAACTGTCCTGAAGTGAGACCTCAAGCTGACTAAATATTAGAGATTTTGAGTCCTCAAGTAAATGAGATGTGTTAAAAGCACTGAGGTTCTTGGAGCTTTGAAATGGTGGGTCAGTTGGAGTGTCTCCAAAGTAGGGTGGGAGAGATTCTGGTTCATTACTGCCAGTGTGTCCWTGGCTCTGCAGAGTGAGCAAGCCCAATTCTGGTACGGTCACASTGGTAGTGTTACTGCAGTGTTCTGAGTACTCATCAATTTTATCTTCTCTTAGGTCACTGCAGTTCTGGAAATAACCTTGAACATCTTTCTCCTTCTGCTGTGTTACCAGAACCTTTTCATGGAGTTTATTACTTTGAGCATACGTGGCCTCTTTAACTGCAGAATTATTTTCCTTTCCGTCTCCTTTTTGACAAACTCCAGRAAAAGTTATGGATACACTTAAATGAGACAATTCACTTTCAAAGTATTTTGTTTCTTCAGAGAGAACAGCATCATTTTTACCTTCGTCTCCATTGTTGTCATTCAAACTATCTGCAGATGATACTGGACTATTCAGAAGACTAGGAAAATGTGAAGCGCCCAATTTCCTATTATAATTTAGAAAGTCTTTACTATAACGAGGATTTTCCCTTGGAGACTTGTTCAGGCCTTCTGGAAGGGCTGAAGCTTTCTCAGAAATGGTGTTGCATTCTTCAGRAGCTTTGTGTCCCTGGTTTTCTGTGGGCTCATGATGATATCCAGCTACAACTGGGAACTCGACGTTTTYGGTTTTACTGTCTGCTGTAGGATAGCTGGTGCTTAAAAATGTCTCCTCATCACGCAGTGATGACCCCCCTGAGCGAGGCACTTTCTGAGTTGTATTAATATTCTGAAATAGTTTTTGTGTAGAGCTTTCTAGTAAAGAGTGCATTTTTCCCACCCTTGTATCTTCCATCACTTCTTTCTCTGTAGAAGAAAGCAGGTTTGAATTATCCAACAACAGTGAACCAGGCACAACGGTGTCCTTTAGCTCTAAAGCTGTATCTTCTATGGAATTAAGACTGTCTTTTAATAGTTTATTAACCATTAAATCCATACTGTGTTCTTTGTAAGCATTATTAATATCCTGAATTATGTCCYCAGAAGAATCTAATTTTTCCAAGGAAAATGAGCTTCCTTTAGCCCTTGGCTGAAGTACAACACTTCCAGACTCAACTCCACCTGCCCTGCAGGGAGTGAAAGAGCTGCTCTCCTTGACAGGTAGCACAGATACGGCATCATCAGGAGCATTTTTAAATCCAAAGGGCTCCTCCTCCTGCCTCTCCTGTGTGGTCCTRGTTTGCAGAAGAGCTTCACCTCTACTCTGTGTTTTATCTGGAAGATGTTCATCTTCTSCCATGGTGTTGGCCGTGACAGATGAACCAACACTGATCTCACTGTCCATTAATGTTTCATAGTAAGGCAGAACAGCTCCAGTCCCAAGATTGCTGTTAGATGGTTTTGTACAACCTTTCAATGCAGCGGGAACACCTCGAACAAGATGGGAATCATCACTTCCTCCAAGATGAAAAGGGTGATTTACAGACTGGYACAGGGAGTCTTGGAGTTCCTGGTTTTTTTCTGCACACTTTAGTGTTGCTGGTGGAGTTTGTTGCTTGCTTATGTCTTCATTATTTCTAGAAAAGCTGGTAGACACCCACTGGCTTTCTCTTAATATTTCATTTAATCTGCTGTCATCAAGTGTCATTTGGTAGCTGCCTTTGTTTTGAGGGAATAGTTCATCCAGGTTTTGTAAAAAGACCAGTTCTACCTCCTCTGTGTTTTCTACAATCATCTGCTTTTGTTTGTCTGATTTGGCCATTTCTACAAACTTCATCAACTGCACTTTCTCTTCCTCAGCGCTGGAGCCTGCTCCATCCAGTTCACAAATAYCAGGTCTTTTCCTAACACCTACATTCCAGTGTTCTGAAGTGCCATGCTCAGGAGATTGCACAGAGCAGCTCATRTACATATGACTGTCAAGACTTGTAAATTTTTGTTCAGTTCTGTGTTGGTCAACACCAGCACTATCCTCAACTGAATATTCACAGGCATCAACTACATTTCCTATCTCTGTAGCAGAGTCCACTGAGTCACCATCTTCACTCATTTCAGTTGGGTCATGGTATCTTGAATCATCTTCTAACAATATATTCTGCTCTAGATCTGAAGCCATCAGGTATCTTTCAGGGATCTTAAATTGATTACAAATTTCTTCTTCGTCATCTCTGTCACAATACATGTGATGCAGAGCTGGAGACTGTTCATWTAAAAAGACATTTTCATCTGTGCATATGTCTTCCTGCCTCATAATAACCAGCTCCTCAGTGTTTGTCATRGTAATTTGTTCCTCACTCCCAGTCACTTCATATTCATTAACCTTGTCTTCTTGTGGCAAACAGTTTGGTACACAATGCTCAATTAAATTGTTAGAATTTATTTGTCCTTCATTTTCAAGTTTTGCTGAAMTATTTCCTTGCCTCCTTGGGGTTAGTGTTTCAGCTACATTCTCTATTGTTCTGCTCATCTGTAAAATCCCCTTGCAAGTATCACGGAAGCCCAAAGTATTGTGAATAATATCTGTTGTGTGGGAACACACAGCTGAAGATGTGGTTTTKGGAGCAATAGAAAGCTCTGGTGAGTAAATACCTATTTCTGTTTTCTCACTTTCTTCTTTTTGGCAAAAGCTGCTTGTTTCGATTTGGTTGCCAGAATGCACAAGTGCCTTTGATTCCTGAGTGTGTTCTGCCCCTGTGTCRGCTTCCTGCAGTTCATCTTTGTCCACCTCTTCATGTGTCAGGCACAGATTTGTATTGAACTCACAGTGCACTTCACAAGCTACTTTATCAGAATGTTTCTTTGGATTCTGAGATAGACCAATGTCTTTAAAATCCTTTCCACTCCTGTCTTCAGTCGCACTTTGGACTTGGGCCACTGGATTATCAGGTAAACTTCCAGTGTATCTGGATTTAATTTCCAATGCATTTTTTTCTAAGTTGCTTGCATTATTGATTGATTTTATTATTTCTTCATCCCTGTCTGTCTCTGTATTCTGACAAGGAGTCGTGGCTACTTCTGTATCCATTTCTACATTTTTGAAAAATTTGGATTCTTTACTCATACACAAACTCTCCTTTTGAGAAATAGCAGTTGATGTGTTTGTGTTGCATTCAAATATCCTTTYGAACTCTGAATTTGCATCATGTTCAACATGAAAAATGGCCTCTGGGCAATYACTTTCAAAAAATGCATCTTTCTCTTTTCTCGATTCAGGTAAAGATGTGTTCTGTGGTTCTGTTTCTGAGGGAAGAGAGGTATCAAATTCCACAGAAATGTCAGTTATCTTGTGTGTACTGTTCTTCTGTCCTGTTGATTTTGAAGAGCACTTTGTGCAAAGGCAGCTGGAATGTACATCARAACAACTTTCCGTGGCACTGACTTCCACAGTAGGATTAGAGGTAGCATCACAATCTCCTTTCACTATTGTGACGTGCTTCAATAGTTTATCATAATTTTCTGTCTCAGACGCACTTTGAAAAAGATTAGCTTTTGTTGAAACTTYGTAAAATATGCTTGAATTAGATTCTGGGAGAAAATCATTTGTAGTCTCACAGATAGCAGCAGGAAAGGACTCRGTGTCTTTCCCATTTACATTCAGTAGGAAATAACTTACTTCATTTACCACTAGGTTTTCATATTTGGATGAAAATTCTTTCTCAACTACAGCCTGATAATTCAAGACATGTTGTTCTTTACTYTCACTGCTTTCTTCTCTTGTATTATCAGTGCATAATGCAGAATTTTCTGAAATACGCTGGGATAAGCAACTTGCCTGATTGACTACTAGAGCACATTCACAGGAATAATCCTTTGAAACAGGTTTGTGTTTGAATTCATAATGATCTAGTGAGGACAAGYCTTCATCCTTTGATACGAATTCTTGGTGCTTTCTGACTGAAGGCACCTCTGGCACAACGTCTGCCAAGCTATCTGTGCTTATTTCCATAGAGTTTATTTCTTTTTGAGACATCTCCATCGGTGTTGCAGACTGGTCATAGCTTGCACTGGCAGCAACAGCTAAAGGGTGACATCGATATGTTGTGTTCTGTGAGGAAAAATCTGTCTCTGCTGCTCCTTGTGCAGGTATTTGTTCACGATCTGTTTCCTGCATTGTTTCCAGATTACTGTCCCCAGCCCTGGGGTGTCCTTCTGTGTCAGCTGATCCTGCTCCTTGTCCAGCCAGCGTCTGAAGGCTGTAACTGCTCACCAGGGAGCAGTCCTTGTTTGTTAGATCATTGAGAAAGAATCCTTCATCACAACGTGCTGGTATTTTCTGTATTGGAAAAAGCTGCCTGCAGTTCCYGAACTGGATGTGTTTCACTTCAGATATCTGTGTTGAGGTCATATCATGAGCAGGTCCCACAGAACACTCAGCAGCAGCTGCACTGACAGAGGCACTTCCACTGTCTGAATCTGCCACACTTGATTTTGCCATCAAGTTATTATAGTCATTGTCAAGCTCATCTTTTGGAAAAGTTYGGAAGAGGCCATCTTCTAAATCGCCATCTACACAGCCATTCCTGTGCTCCAAAATTTGGACAGGCAACACAGAGCTAAAAGGTGTTTTTTTCAGCATGTGATCTTTTGGCTGTTCTGGATGAGTTGTGAAGAGAGAGTTCTCTTTCTTGGATACCAGTGACAAGCAGTCTGCAGTGGAGATGTTTCCCAAACAGCTGAATGTTTGTGCACCTTCAGTGGCAGACCTGTAAGTAGATAATTCATCCAGTTGCTCTTGTTCAGGAAYAGAATGTTCATAATAATCATGATTTGCTGAAGTCAGGACAAAAGAGGGACTTGGCTCTAGTGAGCTAACAAATGATGACATTACATTCTGATGCTCCAAAGAAGAATTTTCATTAGAGTTTGTCCATCCCTTAAGGATCWTCTTTAATGATCTGCTCTCAGAAGCTCTGCTTGCAGCTGTTGTTTCAGGTAAAGGTACTTCCAGTGTGTCAGAGGGGAAAACTGAGTTTATTTCATTTACATGATGCGGTGTGTGAGTAATGCTGTGAATCTGCTTAGAGCCAGAAACAAAAGAAACCTCWGCAGCTGACTGCTTTAGATCTTCTTTCTTCAGCCAAAGTTCTGGTTTGCTCAAAGGGCACAGATGAGCATCTTGAAATTCCAAATTTTCATGGGAAGAGGATGCTGTAATTGTGGGGCTGCTGATATCTACCTTTGAGTCACAGGAAGACCAGGCATCATCATCAGTAAGTGAAGGATTTCCACTTGCATAACRCAGACTTCTTTCAAGGGATCTTTCTTGTTCCACGAAGGAGACTTTTGTCCCCTTCAGYAACTGCTTGCAAGCATTACTGGAAGCAGCCTGTGGCTTGGTGTTCAAATAAAAGGAACTGCTCAGCTTCAAATCATAATTTGTCCCTTCCGTATCTCTGTTGCAGGTCTTCGATTCATGGTCTTCCTCAATCTGTACAGCTGGTAATTTAGGAGTTTGTAACTTCCAGAAAATCTCTGCTGGCACTTCATCAGATGAATCAGATTTGGATTCTTCTACCAGATCTTCTGCTGGCATCTCTTCTCCATCAGCTAAGCTATCCAGAGAAAAGCTTCTTTCAGCCCTTCCCAGTCTCCTACGGGATGCATACGATGTCACCGAAGATGAAATACGGTTCTCGGTTCTGCTTTTGCAAGGCTTAGCCGGCTCATGACGGGCCTTTAACTTGTGATACTGGCTTGCATTTTGCTTTTTGGCTTTATTTTCCTTTTCTGCCAAAGAGTCTTGTGACATTTGACTGTCATCACTCTCAGAATCTTCTGGGTTGGCAAGACAGGTATTTCTGTCAAAATCTTCTTGTTTTAGTTTCTCTGGGAAAACTTTTGCATAAGCGCAGGAGAGAGAATCTACAGAATAGGAACTGTCAGTATCAGAAATCTCATTTTCATCATCCTCTTGCCAGTTCCCCAGCACATCTGTGGCTGTCTTGGACACTCCAGCACTCAGCATCTCAGCACTGTGCCACTTCTTTTCAACATAAGAGAGTGGTGCCTGTRAGTTCATCTTAGTGAGATTTCCTACTGATGCCGCTGCCAGCAGAAATTCTTTCTGTTCCACTGACGATTTCTCATAACTTGGCAAGGCTGAGTTTGCCTCTCTCCTCCAGTTCTTGCCTGTTTGATTGAGATACACTGTCTTCTTCGTTTGTTTAGGGAAGTTTTCTGGAGAATACCTGTGGCCTTTTCCATTGATATCCATTCTAATCTTTTTCTTGGATACCTGAGCTCTATTTTGTGCTACATTGCTACTTGCAGGYTGACTTAAATCTCCTAGCACCTTTGATTTTGTCATTCTTGTCCCTGTAATAAAGGTTTTAGGCTCATCTTTCTCCTTAAAAGGATCAGGAGAGGAACCTTTAGAGGTCTGGTTTTGAGATCCAGCTTGCCCTGGGCTGMCATCCAACTTTYCAATTTTTTTATAGTTTTTAYTGATATAAGCCATAGTAGTGCAATCATTAGAGTCTTTCTCTGCTCCTTTTTTATTTTCAGCTGAAGACGGTTTTTGTTTTTCAGTTAGCWGCCTCAGGACTGAAAAGGAGATCCCCTTTTCATCATTAAGGTCATCCCTCCCAGAAATATCTTTATTACTTCTGTTACGATCTTCTACAGGTGACAGCTTCTCTGTYGTACTGCCTTTACAGTACTGATCTGTATTTGGTGAGGTAGATAGCTTTGAGACAGACTCCCTCTTCAAAAAACAGCTGTGGAAATAAAAAAGAAATAAAATCCAATGCTTGCTTAAATAATATACTTAAAATTTCCACCACAGTGCTGACCTGCAGTTAAGAATAACAATTTATGAAACAACAATCTTAATGCCTTTCAAAATCCAATTCTAGCAAGAAATAAAACCCCCAAAATTCTAGTTAGTCACTAACTATACAATACAATAGAAACAGCCCAATGCTATGAAGTGTAGCTTCAACTGAATCTCTGCAGGCTCAAGTAGTTGCAAATATAAATTAAAAATAAAAGATGGTTCAAAGTCAGAAATCCACATAGCAAAGTTTAGCTATTTCCTGCTGTGGAAATAGCTAAGGGCCATCCTGTGATAGACACCGTAGCATCCCAGCTTTTTAGCTTTCCATAGAGATGGTTATTTAGCTTGAGAAAGGCTGGCCAGTGTAAAATTTCAATCAATAATCACCCCAAAGATACCAGTATTCRGAAGAAGAGTTTGATGCTAATCAAGATAAAATTATGTAGAAATTAGCATTTACCAACAGTCTGAACAAGGCAGTAACAAAAGTTAAGCCAGTTCTAGAAAGCCTTCTCAAAGAGGTAAAAAGTGCAGAAAGGCTTGAGAGAGGAATGTAAAAAAGTGAGAAAGTCCATGCCAAAGAGACAAGTAAAGAATGTAGTGTACAAATCCAAACAAAAAAGACCAGCAGCTGCAGCTTGAGGTATAACCCAGTAGGTTCATTGATATTGCAGGCTTGGGGAGTTTTTCAATATACTGAAAGGCATTCAGGATTACAGGTGGCCACTGAAAATATCTAACAGCCTGATTTTATCCTGCTTTTCAAAGTGGAGAGGAATTGGCAGATGTTAGCTTACCTGGGTACCTGGGGCAGGTGTGGGTTACAGAGCAAATGCTGCCTGTGCTGCAAGGAACTCGAACCCAARGAGTTCTGTCTCTTTTGCAAGTGGTGATCCAAAGAGGACCGTGCAGCAATATTGTCATTTAGGACTGGGGTTTGCTTCACACACTCTTCRCTGAGCCAGCAGCTGGCTTCCAGCTGCTCTAGGTTTTGCTTGGCTTCCAACAGCTTCTGCTTCTTGACTATCCTTTCCAGCTGGAACTTCACCTTTTTCCGTCGTATGTTTCTTTCGGCCTTTTTTAAGGARTACCTTTGCAAGAGCTCCAGCTGCACCAGCCTCTTCTTGTTCTGCTGTAGCAGGGACAGGCAGGTTTCCAGCCCAGTGGTGCTCTGCTCCTCAGCCTCTGCACACAGCGTRGGCTCTGTCTGCACTGCAAACTCCCTCTGCTGTTGCTGAAGAGCAGCCAGACGTTTATTCTCATTTATAAGCCACTGCTGGTCTGTAAACAAAACAATGATTGAAAGAAACTAAAAAAATCATAGGAAAACMATTATGTGTTACTATCTTGTTTCTTAATTTAATCAGCCTTTAGAGGTCATTTGAGAACAGAATTTTTGTGCATGTCAAGTGGAGACTTGACAAGCCATTTAGAGAAGAATGTACTGTTGCTCTACTTCACTGGTAACTAAAAACCTCTTAATTGGGTTAGGGACTCGGGTAACTGCAGGATGTGAGCGGGGGCTTGGCCAATACAGCTGAGGAGACTGGTGGATAAGATCATGCTTGTAAGAAAAAAGGAGAACAGATGCCAGTTTCTCAAAGATGACACTCAAATATCAATTACATTTTGCTAAAATACACTGGAGGCATGAAAAGACCCGAGTTCAATTCTGTGCACTTTTTCGACAAGGGGTATATATTCACTGTAGAGAAGGATGACTTCATTAGCTTTTTTCTGCAAAATATGTTGCTACTTCTGCTTTAATGATTCTGAAATCCTATGTTAAAACTTTGCATAGGAATGAATGTAGGTGCACTGGCARCAGAGTTAGCAAGGGAAGAAGAGGATGAAGCTGCACAGAGGTAAACAGAGATCAGTGTTTGCCCCTGTATTAATGCAGCAAATGGAATTCTATGAACACACTAACAAGCCTTTSGCTAATAGAGTCCTACATTTTGAATGAACAAATAAGCACTTMTGCAATTTTAAAATGTTACTAACTTCTTATCACTGCATTTGAGGGTTTTACAACTATTCTAAACCAAACATTTCTCTTTGTGTCTTTTGGGGCTCTGGAAGTTTCCCTAATGCCAGAAACCATTAGTGCAGAGACACTGCAGGWATCACTTGTTTGATGACTACTGATCTTGTTAAACATACTTCATCAGTGATCCCAACCACAGTGAGTCTCCTGTCCTGCTTKTGCTGGCAGCTGTGCACAGGGCACATGCACAGAAGTAGGATTTCTAGCTCTATGGCTACGCTGTGGATAAAATAATTTTTGTGGATATCATTTTTGTCATTRTGTTAGTTAATTTTCCTTAATTTAMTAACATTTTTAGTTTTCACATACAAAGCTTTTTTCTTCAACTTTGTTTCCAATGTGTTCTCTTCAGCATGTTTTTAGCAAGAATATTTGGCAAGTCACAGTTTCCCTGCAAGCGAGCCGCAGGCCTGTTAATTAATCTCTGCACACAATCTTGCCTCTGTCAGGAGCTGAGCCACAGAGGGCACAGAGAAGGTGAAGAACTTTGGTGGGTTGCCAAGTAATGAATTGTATTTGGCTAGCAAAAACCACCTGCCTGGCTAAGCTTTGCATGAACACAGCAAAACCAGCAGAACTAGAGGGAAGCAGAGAATAAGTCTACAGAGCCACAAAATAAAGATGTTCTGGGGGAACTCTCCTGGTTCTCTGCACTATCTACATAATCTTCAGCTATGTCCCATCAAAATAATTTCTTTTAATCTCTTCATTGTGGCTGGCATAATTAAAAGATAGCTGACTGTGTAAGTTTTGGTCTGTGACATTGCCAAAACTCACAGAAGTTTTCTTGTTCCAGGATCAAACAGCAGATTTTGCCAGGAGGGAATGATACCTTTGTATAGGCACCCTTCGCTTATCAAGAGAGCTAGATCAAATCATTCACTGGAAGACAAACTGAGAACACTGCAACCGATTTCAAAAACACCTCAAGGTTTAAAATGTTCCCAAATCACTCCATAAACTCGTTAAGGGGCAGCCCAACCCCTCCAAGGCATCTTACTGAATACATGGAATGCAAAGCAGCAGCTCCAGGGGTCAGGAGCCAAAGACACTAAACAAACCTCTCAAAATATGTGTTTGGTTTAAGCCACAGTCTTATTTTACAACCCTGTTTTTCCTATTGAGTGAAATTAATCAAAACCACATGAAAATTATCTGCACTGTTGGAGGTGACATCATCAATGAGAGCACCTCAAGTGACCTGTCGCTGTCTCCGAAGTGCTGCTTGGCTCCTATCACATCCCTGAAAGCTTTTGGTAGGAACTACCACAGTCACCTCAATTTCAGTCTCCCAGAACAACTCATTGGATGAAGCACAAATCCATCTCAAGAAAATGTTATAACACAAGAGCAGTCTTGGTCTACATTAGAGCTACAGATATGAGCAGAGGCTGCAGGGAGGCAGGATGGGGATGAGCTCGGGAGAGGCTCAGTGCCACAGGGGAGTAGCTGGTGCTGTCCCCCCCATCAGTGACCTGCAGTGCTAATTAAGCAGGGCTGCTGGAGCACTGRGAATGAGGYCCTTTAGCTCTGTTGATCAAAKCTTAGTAGCTATTCTCAAGGGAAAGGAGATTGTAGGAGAAATCCAGTAATTAGCCATAACAAAAGTTTCACTCATAAAATAAAGCATCACTAGGACAGAAAATGTTTAGAGGATGAAAGTATGCAGTAATGGAAGGGAACTGAATGAGGGGAAGAGGTGGGTACTCACTTTCCTGGATTTGCTGGTTGATAAGTGCTTGGTCATTTTCTAGTTCCTGCTCTGCTTTGATCTGTCCTCTCAGAATCTGCTGCTTTAGATCTTCAACATAGAGCTGCTGTTGTTGAATTTGTTTTCTGTGGAAAGCTTCCTGATCTCTCAGTTTCTGCTTGTACTCTTCATGCACAGCATCTATTTCTCTGCTGTTAGAAATGCTGACAGTGAATTTAAACCAGAAACAAATACTATTTGTAATAAAACAAGTCATTTTACTAAAGAAATACAGCATTCAAGATGAGTTTTGTTCCCTAAGGGTGCATTATGACAAAAACTCGTAGCTATGTATGTACATGTCACAGGAGGCTGCAACCCTGTAAATGTCATAAATGCCAGCAAGCATGAAAGCTCCAGTAGTGAAGCAGCTAATTCCATTGCCAGAAAGATAAGAGCAAAAAGAATTTWAAAAATATTGTCACTTATCATTTTCCTGTAGTCTTCCATAAATGAAATTGGGGATGGGTTTTTTTATAAGTTATAAAATTTTATAACCATTATATGAGATATTTGTCATCTAAGTAYTTCAAAGTGCTTTACAAAAATGACAAAAATTCTTTGTTTTCAGATAAAAAAGCTCCAACTTAGAAATATTTACAGGCATTGTCAGGCTTCAACAGTCTCTGGCAGTACCAAGGAAAGACTTGATCATCCAGTTCTCTGTTRGATGCAAGAACTGTATCAGGTTACTCTTTCTATATTTGGAGCAGAATTGTGGTCAGAAAAGTGACTAAACTGGGAAAAACTGCTCTACAATCTCGTCCAAGATGTTTGGCCCCTGACTGAGTGCCAAAATTTTACACAGAGCAACAATCAAAACAGTATATATTCTTAGCATGATGCATTATAATATTCAAAATACCTTAGACCTCTGTAAGGAATATTTGTTCTACCTCTCCACATGCTATTATCCATTAATTCTTAACACTAAAGTTAGATTATATGTAAAGGTGATAGATTATATTTGCCTGCTAAAACTACATTATTATATATAACCTCAGAAAATGAAACCTTAGAGTCTTGAAAAAGTGTTTTAAGTATATTTCACTAAGAAAGTAAATTATGTACTTATTATACTTCTAAAGCAATCAAAGGCACCAGAACTCTAAAGAGTCCCYGGAGGTCAAAAMCCTCCAAAAATATAATTTCAAAAGAAATCTTTGGAAATACCACATAGTTTGGAAAATCACTACCAATACCAGGTCATCTGTATGAAAAGAATATTTGAGCTTTGTTACATAGGGATAATTTAACATCTTGATTTAGAACTGTAAGCATAAGTTCAAAGCAACCATTTCCACAGCAAAACCTTGATTCTGTGTGATAGTTTAGCAGACAGMACAGATGAAACTATCAAGCAGCCAAAGTCTACAAATCTCCCAGARTACCTCTACATGGAACATTCCTTTCACCTTCTTAAGCAGTAGCAGAAAAGCCTCAGTACATRAAAGCCTTAAAATTTTCAATAATTTACAATATTACTACGATTCTTGCTCACATGAGAAAAAAAGAATTCTGTTTTGTTTTCATGTTTATGCAAATGTAATGTTGAAAATAACTGAAAGAGAACATCTTCTGCTCAGTTGTCTGGTATGGCACAAACGGAGTACAAACTTTGCTGCTGCCACCTGCTAAAAGGTTTGTGTCTATTTGTGACCCACACAAACAAATTGAAAGAATACGCAGTTCCAAGATCTGTTTGTCCTTGGCTTGACTACAAAGATGCCAGCACCCTGTGATTTGCAATTTTTTTCCCTCTTAGATAAACTTTTATTGATCCCCATGAAACAGAAGTGGGATGTCTCATTTCTCATTCAGCCGAAGTAGGTTTGGATTGACACTTCACTGCAGCACTGAAACCCTCACTTGGTGATTWCAAATCTGCAGCTGCTCAGGTATTTGTAACACCACCAACCACAGGGGACAAGCTCAGAGGTTAAAGACAGACTGGTGATAACTAAAGGACAACCACTTTCCAAACAGAGTATTAAATCTGAAATATCTTGTGTAGGAGATGCTCCCGTGGTTTCAATGGTAACTCAGAGGGACTCTTTCCCTAAATGCAGCTTTAGGTTGTCTTCCATATTTTCTAAGGGAAATGTAATGGAGCAGCCATATAATCTGGAAACAAAAATGTTGATCAAAGACAAAAACCTTCTGATTTTGGAGCAGTTACATCACCTCTATGCTTTCACATACTTGGGTTGCAAAGTCTTCAGAACAAGGACTGCCACTGGGTGCCCATGCACTCTGCAGAGTCTGGTTATCAGGTGGTGTTTAAACTGTTCTACTAACAGACATATGAAAGCTCTRATTCCTATGGTGGTCATAAAATTTGAAAAATATGAGTCTAAATTTGTTACTGGTCTCACATGACCTTGGGCAAGTCACTTTGAGACACGTGTGAAAGAAGCAAAGTACATTTATCCAAGAGAAGTGGTGAAGATTCATTACCATTATCAAACATCAGAGAATCAAGTATCAGAAATGATTATTTTTATTAATTTACCATTATTAGCATCATTCTGCATGAGACTGAGGAAATGGAGTAAATCATTGCCAGCAGGCTGAAAAGAAGCATGATACTAAAGCAGTAGAGAAAGAATTCTTGTTGTGCAACTGTTAACTAAAATTAGATAAAACTCCTCTGATAAAATGTCTCTCATTCCTCCTAACCATGACTTTCAGCTCTCAGCCAATTTGTCCATAACATTGGTTTATCAGAGTTCCAATGGTTTACAAACTGAAACCCAGAACAGTTAAGTAAATGAAACAACTCAATGTTGCATTTCAATCCAAAGAGCCAACAATGCTTGCAGGGGTGGTTAGGTAACATCTAACCAGTTTACAGTTGTGAGAGGGTCACAAGCTTTTCCCATATTTTCCAGCCTTGCTGAAACCACTCCYCACCCCCATTATAAAGGATGAGAGAATAAGCAATACAAACAATGCACGTGGCTGTGTGCTGCTTGCTCTCGGCAGCACCAGCATATTCCCTCATGYGCGTGGTGATGGCTTTTTGCTGATCCCACATGAAACTCTGAGACCCTTTCCAGCAGCCATGTGTGTTTGAGGCAGGCATGGAAATAATCACAGCTCTGTGCCACGACTACACCCCAGAAAGGCCCAGTACAGAGGGACAGCCATACTTCACTTTAAATCTTGGAGAAACTAACACAGCACAGCAATCACTGCAGTATTATTTCTGCTTTTGTTCAGGTGATGTAGCTAGTTGGTAAAATTCTCCCTCTGTATGGCTAAATAAATAGCATTCTGTAATAAAACACTGTTAAGTATAAATAAAATAAGTACCTATAAATAAGTATAAAATACTGAAAGTATAAATAAAAATTGCAGCTCTGCTGTTATCTCAGTGTCTCTTTGCTTCATCTCCTAATTTTTGGCAGCACAAAAAAAAAACAGGCAAGGCAGTAAAGCCAGGTCTGAAAACAGACTGAACATTAAACACATTTTTGTGAAGCTGCTTCCTAAAGGCAGTGTTCTGAAGTGGAACAAAAATATAATGCAAATTCACGCAGAGCCACTTACATAATACACAAATGCGAGAGGATGTTTTCCCTCTGGCTGCGAGACACTGACTGTGAGAGCAGAATGACTGCCTGGTTTGGGATACAGATCTGTCTCTCACAGACACTGCTGAAACCAAGAACATGAGGTCAGAATGCTCCCTTTTCCACCTTGGAACACRCTATGTCATGTCAGCACACTTTTGCTGGTTTGTGGAAATAACACAGTAAACTAAACTAAAAGATAACATGACAATGGCCCTGAAAGAAAGTAACAGATTCACACACACTTCATAGCTAAATTACCTAATAAGCAATTCAAAGAACGACTGGTTTGTATAAAATATGTTTGGATGACTAAACTAAAAACAAGTATCAATCCAGTTAACATAGGAATTTAGCCAAATTTTGAAATMGGTAGGTGAGATCACTATTTTTTTCCATCTAAAACATCTTAAATGAGATGTACTGTTAAATTTAGACTTGAATCATCAGAATACTAAGAGATATAGCAATCCAGCACAGAATGMTGTKGCTTATATTCCTGCTTTTCCACATRAGCAATTACAYCCAGCACACTTCTAGCAGGAAATAATATAACCTCAGGACAAACATAAGGGAAACAGCTTCATTCCTGTGGTATCAAGACATACGTGAAGTCTTGGCCTCACAGGACWAGCATACAGCATATTTAAAAATATTCTAGCATTTAAAAATACTCAGCATACTTTAGCATACAGCATATTTTAAAAAAGCAATTMTGCAGAGAATTTCATAAAAGCATGCAGATTTCTAGGTGTAGTGAATGCAGCATGAAGTGTCAACAGTTACCCCTCCTCCAATTAAGCCTTCAAAAGCTGCAAGTAAAATCACAACAAAAAGACATCAACCATAAACTAAAGATAATCACAAATTACTGAGAAAAYGTTCATATGATACCGATTCTGCCGGATTGCTTTTCCATCTCATTTTTCTCTCCAAAGTTTGCTCGATGCTCGCTAAATGAATCATCTGTGAATCCACATTTTTTTTGTCCAGCCGGTTTTGTTGTCAGCTCTCTGGGATCCTATTGTGCAATTCTCCTCCCCTCTTCCCAAACACTTCTACTGCTGATGCAGAGGCTGGCGGCCGCTACAGCATAATGCAGCTTCCAGTAACTATGGCAGCAATAGCTCTGTGCTGAGGCTGAATACCTGCAGCAACAAAATCTCAAGGCTCAAATAGAGAAACTCCTGTCAAAATAACCACTTCTGCTGAAACCTGAGATCTGCCGGTTTTCTCGAAGAAAACATCAGTCAAGTAAGCATCCCCATCTTTCTGACTGCCTAGTGTTCAAGTCCCATTTCTCTTCTACAAATTAAAAAAAGAAAAAGAGTTAAAAATAAAGCAGAAACCAAGATGTTGGCAGGGCATTTTGAACCCTTGCAAGCCGCACAGTAAGAGCAGTCCCAAGTTTGAGTCCCAATCCTATCCTAATACACATCTACAGCTCCCCCCACCTTCTCCAGCCCCATCCTCCCCCTCCTGCCATGTCCAATCCTTCCCGCAGGTTCCGAGCATCGCCCAGCACAGGCAGCTGCTTCTGCCGGCACAGGGACAAACYGCTCCCTTCTCCTCCCTAAAGCAAGGCGAACAGCAAAGGAGAGATGGAGACCTCGTGTTATCACCGCCTTCAGCCTCCCAAAGGAATGGCATTCACAGATTCAAAGCAAAAGTTGGAGTGGTGGGCAGGAGGTGGGAGCCAGAAATCAGTCAAAATGGCCAGCAGAAACCTTTAGAAATATGGGATCTTTGGAAATGCACAAACAGAGTAATCCCCCTCACAGAAATTACCATCACATGARGAGTCATTTAGATTTCTGATCAGCTGGTTTGCTTACAGAAAGAGCACACCTGTGCTTTTCTGTGTGGATTTTTTAGCCTTTCCATGCAAAACCTCTTTTTCTTTGCCTAAGCCCCCAAAATAACAGTWAAGCAATGGCTTATTTAAGGCACCCCTTTCAATACATCTCTAAACCAGACCTCTTTTTGGCAGAGTCACAGGCACGAGACACTTTCCATTAAGGCCAATGCTGCCTTGTTAAATGCCAGTTCTGCTCACACGCGTTTTCCCTTCACAACATCAGTTTAGAATTTGTTACGCTGCTAACCACTGTACATGATTCTGCCTTAARTTGTAGAGTTGCTGTAATTGACACAGTGCATTTCTCTGCGAAACAAAATATTTGAGGGATCTTTTAAGAGATGCAGAAGTTTTATCTATTTTTTTTTGTGGTGGAGTACTTTGATATTCTCAAATTAAAGCTGTTAGCGAGAACTCAGAATTATGTTAGATATTAGCTGGACCAGTTAATTACACCACATTAGAATAACAAATATATTGCGTTATGTTGTATTGGATTTTTTCCCCACAGTTTAACAATGTTCATAATTACAGGGAAAGTGAGTTTAAACACTTTCCAAACAGCTACAATTAATCCAGTGTACTGCTATTCCACTGAACTCTAATGAGAAAACTGTGGGTTTTTTGTTTTTTCTTTTTCAAACCAAAAAGACAAAAAAATCAGAGTTTTTATTTCTATGCAGTATGATATTAAGGCAATGGCAGGAACAAGACYTTAATTATCAACTTATTTTCTGAGTAGGGTGCATGAGCAGGCAACCAAGTAAGGGTATAATGACTCAAAACCCTTTTCAAGGAAATGCCCAAACTTTTAATATTTGTGTGCAATGGTAGAAAATGGTTTCCCCTCTCATTCCCAAAATATTTTAACGTACAATTAAAGGTTGAACTCATGATTCAACCCATGAAAAGCAGATGAGAAAAATGTCATCATACTGACAGCATGGGAGATAAGACACATCGTTAATAATCATTACTGGAATATGTATAATATGATCTGAAATAAAAAAATAAAAAAAAAAAAAACCAGAAGAAAGCAAAGTACCATAATTGCCTGATAAAAAAATATACTTAAACCCATGGAAGCTCAACAATTTCTGAATTATTTCTGTTTGCAGCTCCAGTGTTTCTTTGCATGAATGAACCATATTCTACACTAAGAATTAATTTTTTTTTACTCTTCCCTAAAGCAACTTTATTCTCACCAGAAGAGAACCCAAATYATCCAAGCAATTTTCAAAATACTAATGAGTATTCCCAGTGCCTACTGTTGGCATAAAATCTACTACATTTAGGGTTCTCATATGCTGGAAATCGGTGGCAACGTCAGAGTAAGCCTCAATCTAGTTACAGGTTTTAAATGCAGGCTACACATGCAACAAAGATGCAAATCACTTGCACAGATCTCATATGAAGAAAGAACAGAGCCTAKCCTGTAACTCAGCTGCATGTACACATTCTTGTTCCAATGATAAAATAGTTTGAATTAAAGCTTAAGTCTAGTTTCCATCTCTTCTGGAGGAAATCAACGTAGCACAGGAGAAAGGCAAAGCTAAAGGTGTCAAAATTTTCAGCACGATTTAGACACATTGATATTCTTACCTTAGYTCAAGAGAACATTTGTTTTCTTTACAGTTTCTACATTTTTGACTGCAAAAATAAAAATAGGAAATCATAAATATTTGGGAAAAAAAAGGTAAGAAAACTTCACTGAACCTATTGTACACAGAGATATTGTTGTAATTTTCAGTAGGATGCACATTTCTAGCAGCTGGGAGAGCACCAAGAACTTTCAAGTGAGAGGGGGAAGAGAACAAGACACACACACAGAGCTTTCCCTGTTCTTGTATTTTGGTCTTAGCATCTCCTTCTGACAGAGACAAGACCCTGCACTWGGATGGGCTTTTTACTCCCATAAATAAACCCTCCCTGTGGTYCACTTAGTCCTGTATTGTAATTTACAAAGTACCTCTCACACACCTTTTAGTACCTGACACTGACTTTTCTTCATGAGACACCACATRTATAATTTTATTCTTATAATACAGATCTTAGGCTTGATGTCTCAACCACAACCCCCTTCCATGAGCACTTCTTGTCTGTACAGAAATAGAGGCTCACAGGCTGCTGCAAAGGAAGGCTGAGTGGGATAGTTCAGTTTACCTACACCAAAGAAATATTCAAAAGGATTATATAAGGTGAAAAAAATTCTTATTAGACGTAGTTTATAACTCATTCCTGTAAGAGATGGACATTGATAAAATCAAAGCAAATGCAATACCATAACATTTTTAATTTTTACTGAAGTAACCATCTGAAACCCTCTAGGTAAGCATGAGGGTAACTTTAAGCAATTTAATATGCTTGTAATATCCTGTCCAAGTGATTAAAAAATTAATCAACACAAGCAAATCTTCTATCTGAACATGATCAGAAAAAAAAAAAAAAATCAATCAGAAATGTTCTGCAGTTTTATCAGGTTAAAAAGAAGAAAACTCAGTGCAAATTCATGATAAACTGTTCATAACGCTTCTGGATTTCATCAGGTTTTTCTAGGATCATCAAAAATCCTCTGTGATAAGAGCTCCATGACTGTTTTTATCAACAAAAAGAGCACTTTGGTGTACACCTCTGAAAGTTATTAGACAAATTTTTATTTTTAAAATGCTTTGTAGCTTTTCCTAAGAAAATAATAGCAGTGATGTGTAAAATGTTCCTCAGTAAAGAAACAAAATGAAAGAACATTTTGTATAGATAGATATCAGTGCAGAAAATGAGAAGCAAATACAGTGATTAGATACATAAAAGAGAACAGGTAAAATCACACTATCCAAGGTGGAAAGCAAGCCACTTGACTAGAAGCATGACAAATATTCAAAACAGAGATATGCTCATAAAAATGAGATGAGATAGTTCCCTTAGAAAGAGATAAAAGATTCCCAGTATGATACCACACCAAAAACACTAGCAAGCAGCAGAACCATTAATAGATATGAATGAGAGGATGACTGTTTCATGCTTTCAACGGGTTATTTGAATGTGCCAGGCYGAGAGGAATTAAAAAGGAAAAATAACCCAATTACATTTATTTCTATAAAAACCTATTTTCAATGTTATAAACTGAAACACAGAACATGTCTCAATTAACTTTCCTGACACATATTAATCACTGTCTTCATCACACCAATCCTTTCCATTTCAGAAAGGTTCTGCCATAAAAGCAGACACTAAACACTGAGTATGGGCAGCTCTTCAACACTTCAAAAGCAGCATATGCYTTATTTACTGCTCAGTTTAAGGAAAAAACTGGGAATCACATTGGCTTTCTGAATGAAGGGCTCAATGAGGACTTGAACTGAAGGGAATTTATGAACAAACCTTCCAATTTCCACAAYAAATTAGCAGGGAAAGTCAATTGATAATAATTACCTTGGCTAAATCATATCCTGGAAAGTYCATTCTGTGCACTGAAGTAATAATATTGTAAAAATTATAGATTATCTGTAAATCAAAACAGCTGAAATGCAAATGTCCAAGCAAACTGATTTAACGCTGTCTGACAGTCTCATCTGAGAAATTTTCTTTATTCAGAATCGATAAATAATTTTGCAGGTTTGTTGCTTGCATATCTTACTGCTCTATATTAGTCGGTTGGCCAATGTATTTTCTCTGACATATTTAAAAACATGATGGCACTTCTTCTGTACACAGCTTACTTTTGTCAGACATSATCCCACAAGAGAAATTGTTTGCTCAGTTGCTTTTTTCTTAGTTTTAAACTTACTTGTAAAGAGAAGAAAGTATGTAGTGTGGAGAATTGGTGCAACTTGCATCCAAATTGAGCCAGTCCAAAGCTGCACAACTCTGAGAGGGTGGGGTTTCATTAATCTACAGAAAACACACAACATACGACAGGAATTAAAAAAAAAAAATCACAGCAACCCAGGGGCTTGCAAGTTGTTATTAGCACTGTCATCATTAACTACTGTGAGCAAGGCTCCRTAATACCTCCCAAGTGAGTTTATAATCTCATTTATACTTCTGCCTAGTCTTTGATAATTAGCAACATTGCCAAGCACTTGTTACTGAGCACATCTCTTTTTCCGCCTCTATTTCAATGTACTGCATGTTTCATTAATCAAGAAATAAAGAATGAAAACAAAAAATTTAAGCCCCTTATCTCGAAGTGAGTACAAAAGGAGAGAAGAGTGGAAAGTATAAAATGTTACTAAAGGAAAATCCATTTTAAAAGGTAGACTTYTGCCAATATCGATTGATACTATGGTTAACTCTTAAATGAGAAAAAWTATCTTTTTTTTTAAGTTAGATTTTTCAGTTATATTTATCAGTCATTTTAAGAATTATCTCATTTCTTAAACATGATTGAACTAGCTAACCAAATAATATCTTACAGTAGTTAGTTCCTGAGCGTAACATACCAATAAATATTTTATCTATTTCTGATATATGTAACAATCAACTGCCTTCAGAGCCAACAATACTTCAGTATTTAATCCCATAAATTTTCCATTTCTTCTAGTACACTTCCTTCAAGACAGGAAAATGACAGAGAAAGAAGATAACTCAGAAAATTATCAAATGTGGAAAGACTCTTAACTGCTCTTTTCACTTCAGCATTCTGCCTTTTTGTTTCAATCCTACTGTAGTCATGACTAGAGATAGGAATCACTAAATTATTCAAGGGAGTGCATCATCTTTTGCTAAGCACATCTGAAAGGAGTGTTASTGTCCTCCCACAAAAGGTTTAGTGCCATTACAGACCATTAGATGGAGGAAATGAAGCAAGGGAATATGATGATGAAATGAAATACTATCCTGATCRTGCTGGCTTTTAAGAAGAAAAAAAGATAGTAAAAGAAGAGAAAAATTAGGAGAAGAAAACAGTTTTAGAACTTACTGATCTTCTTAGTCTTAAGATAGCAGCTTCTGCTGGGTGATTGAACCTAAACTTATGAGATTTGCCAAGGACAACAAGGGCTCCTGTGAMAACAAAATAATTAGACATTTACAGAGACATAATTCATCAAACTACTTTAAGATAGTATGTTAAAAAAAATTAAATCCTGATCAACAGCTTTCTGAACATCACAGAACAGAGAACAATTTTTAAAATTTGCCACTATAGAATGGCAGAGTTATCAATGTGTAATGACAGTAACCAAGCAAACTAATCTTGCAGATCTCTAGACTAAACAGAGCTGTAAATTCCCTGCTCATATGAAAGGCCAGCATGACTTCATGTCAAAACCCCAACCAACTCACTGCTGAAAACTTATTTTTACACTATATTTTTAAGAGTCTAGATCACTGCAAGCTCCCAGAATCAGGGCTGTTACTTTAAACAATCTAAAAATATGMAAGCCTTATCCATTTAGTCTGAATTCATTCATCACAGCCTATCACTTGGTGGCTATCAGCCTCTACCTAAAAACACTGTGAAGGAGCTGAAGGTTGTATCAACCATATCAGAAAACCCTTCCAGTGGCCAGCTGGCTTAGAGCCAGCCTGCACTGCTTTCCACAATAGTGCTTCTGACTACACCTCTTCCCTTTCAGAAACCTACATACTACTGTAGCCAAAAGGAGTCAGAATATTGTCCCCAGTGTTTTAATTTTACTCCTGTGGGGTACTTAATTTATTTGTCCCAGCTTTAGCCATGGATCAAACCTTGTGGAGCTGGCAGCAGACTGAGAGACCTGCTTGAGTTCCCTAATCTAATCTCCAGCCATAAGGACATTACAATGCAGCATTGACAGCAAAACCAAGTCTTCCTTACCTTGTGACAGACGGCAGGAGCCCGACACTTCGCATCCATTGACGGAGCAGAGCGCGCCCGGGACCGCCCGCAGAGTCACGATCCCACAGCGGTTGTCTATCGTGCAGTGATTCCTTTCAATCCACTGTCCCTGCAGAACTACAGCACAGAGACTCAGCTCACCTGTTCAAGGGGCTGGGCTTGCCCTGTTTTCCTCAGAAGGGAGTACCACACACAGTTTGACACTTTCATACCCCACAGAACTGCATCGTGTGCAAAACAAGGAGATGAAATCCTGCTAGTCAAATACTTCATCACAGAAAAAACTCACCAATGAAACTCACTATTGAAAATAGTGAGATTGATCTTTATTTCTGGTACTGGAAAACTATGCATCACTTTCTCATTTATAAGCTGATATGCAAATTCTTCTATTATGTTGAATTTTCTTAATGCCCCGATGGCATTTATTTACAATTCACTAATCTACTGGCAGAAAATAATCAAACATAACCATGCTTAGCAGAACACAACCAAAGCTGAGATTCCACAAATTTTTCAATTTCAGCATGAAGTTTCAGTTCTCTATCATAGTACTGAGCCTTTAAGATTGACTGCTAAAATTAAAAGCAGAAATTAAATTAAGTAAGACATATTCTGTATAATTTGGATTTTATATCTAAAACACTCTGTACAAGTAGAGTTGAAAAACATTTTCAATCTCTTGTGATCGCTTATGCCACTAGTTTAGGATTGAACATCTGAGAATCTGGTTGTAAGATGAAGATACTTTTGAGCTCTAGTGTAGCATTTTACTACTGGGAAGAAAATTTGGCAGAGATCTCAACTGGGTCAAGTCTACTGATTTTTGGCCTATTCAACAAAAAATAATCATAGAGTTTTGCAAACATTAATAATTAGTCTCTTSTACTTATCTTCCTCAATAAAGAAAGCTGGCAAATAGAAACACTACCTAGCTATTACACATGACAAACGTAAACCTGTTGGTTTGACGTGACCATATCACAAAATAACTTSTAATACCATTCTCTTACCAATGTCTTGATCTTGGTCTGAGTCACTTCTTCCAATTTTGGTTGTTCCTTCCTAAAACAAGAAAAGAACAAATTTAAAAATTGGTTATGGAAAGTAGACCATATATACAAATTAATGAAGGTTTGGTACATCATTTTAGCAGAACACTTAAATTGCCTCTGAATGATTGAATTGTTTGATGCAAATGCTATGTACTTCACACTATTTCAGCCCACTGTTCCCCACAGTGTTGCAATTCCCCTTCATCCTGCAGCYGTGTCAGCTTCTACGACTACAGTAGATAAAGTAACTCTCAGTGGATGACTTCTGGACAGTGCTCGAGACCAATATTTTGAATATGAGCATGCTTTGTACTTTTATGGTGAGACCTGGTGTTTGCAGAAATAAGATATTTCTTTTCATAAATATCCTCCTTCCATAAATGGAAGGAGGAATGTAGCTGCAAAATTATYATTCAATTAACCAGGCTTTTCCAACTTAAAAGTAACCAAATTCCCGATTTTTAAGGGTACTTTGTCATAGATTATGAACTCTTCAATCTAACTACTAAGGAAGAACTTTTTTTCTGAAACTTAAATGACATCTTATGAAAAGTCCTCCTGGTGCTTATGGTACATGGGCAAATTGCCAAATAACTTCAAAGAAAAGAACTGCCTAGAAATAAAAGTCTCCAGATCAAGAAGACTCCAACCATATTATGGGTCAGTGATGGAAGTGAGACTGTATTTTAATGGTTACCTGCAAATACCAACAAAAAAGTGTAATTTAAACAATATCATGAGAAAAAACAAAGTGCCAAACAAAGACAATTAATTTATCATCTGTCTGTTAATTCTCCATTACCAGTTCTATGCTTTTTCTTAGGAAAACAAAGCAAGATAATTTCCCAGTTCTAAAGAGACACTGTAATTGATTACAATAAARTGATTAGTAAATGCACTTGAAAATTACTTTAGTGGCAAGTCTTTCAGTTATTATTAAAATGAATTTGGAACGGTAAACAATATGATTTTGTATTCAAATTAGAACAAATTGAATATGCTCTCTGCTCCAAGCATATTGTAAAACCTAGATTTAAAGATTAAGCAAAAAGCAGTAACTGGAAGCCTGAAGACTGGGCAAACAGAAGCTGTGCAATACTTCAGGGTGACCCAGTTATGAGTAATTATGGGTAAATCACAGTGGGTTTGTGCTCTGGACAGAAAGGGAATGGTTMTCATAAAACTCCTCACAGAGCTCAGCCAACTAACAGAGCCCTCAGGTATGAGCCCTGCTGGAGAGGCTGAAAGCTGGACGGTGCCTCTGCTTTGGAGCAATTACCAAGCTACATGTCACTTTAATGCTCAGCAGGCTCAGCTGCAAMATATCCACCTGGGCTGGCCACAACTTCTAGAAAACTTGTGTTCCATATGTCCTTTGACTTGTATCACTCGATCAGGTGAGTTAGCAACTTGTATTTTATGCAAAGAGAAGTAAACCAACTCATAAAAGATCTCTTTATCTTCTTCACCAAGCATAGAAATAGTTATTGTGATTCCAAAAGTAATTACTTTCAAGTTGCTGAACGAGCTCCCCGGTAATATAATTTAATTCAGAATAGTGTAGGACAGCACGATTGTCTCAGGAAATTCACAGCAGTATCCCAGTCGGTGGAGTGATTCTGGGTAAATTTAAATCTAACTAAAAACTGCAGGTAAGACCAAGGGTACAGATACAATACACGCAAACTAACTCAACTAGAGAAAACAAACAAAAATAACCATAACCCAGGACCACGCTGACTTCATTTTAAAGTGCTATTATTGAGCTAATAATGATAATATTTATATTCTTTTCTAATTTAATATTGAGTATTCCACCTGAAAAAGTGAAAGATGTTTCAGATGAAATGATTGCACAACCTGACCTTAGCACATCACAGCACATCCTCACACCGGCTGAAGTGTTTTTACATTGTTACCTCCTCTGGCCATGTCTCATGACTAAGGGTAGAATTTCCCAGGTAAATTACAGAACCAGGAAGGGTGAGATTGCTTTCCCCCTCACTGCTGGGAGTACTCCAGCTTTCAAAAATGTTACGAAGTACGTATTTTATTAAAACAATCAAAAATTTCACATTTTTAAGCTAAGCAAAAAGGGTTCGTTAAATCATAGGAAAGCATACATTTTTATTAATGAAAGCCAGAAAATTAAATGTAGGCACAGCATTGATTAGTGCAATTAATACTATGAAATATCAGGGGAGTAAAAGAGYAACACAATACTGATTCTGCAAGATCTGAAAACTGCTGCTGTGACCTCCCTCTAGAAGTACAATGTAAAGTGTTTTTATATATTTAAGCCCTAATTGGTAAAGAACCACTAATGTTTTACCTTCTTGCTGTTCAGGTGAAGGTAACAGACACCAGAGACTAAAATATGTAAAGCACAAAGAAAAGAAAAGGCAGCATCTAGAAGCAAAGAAAGAAGGGACAAAGRTATTAGTGTGACAGAGTCATGAATGACTTCAGAAGGTGAAGTCAAACCAGGTTACRCCATTAAAATGAATATATTTAAATTAGGAGTTGTCAAAATTAGTATGGGAAAGTATTTGCTCTTTCCAAAATGGCACGTAACAGAGAAACATTTAATAGTAGCAGTTGCTTGCAATAAATATTTAATGTTAATGTAGGGTTGAGTAGTTGAAGTTGCATGTTGATCAGCACTGGACATAAATACTTGGACCCTAATTATTACCTGGTATAATTTCTTGTGCTGGCATGAGWAAAATKAGTTCAGTTTCTCTTTCAACAGGAYARMAGAACAGCATGATTTAGATTCTAAATATTTGTAGTAATTTCTAAGAGGAATAAAAAAATCCTGTGTCCCTAAACTACCAATTACCACAAAATCTAGATAAAGATTTTTTATTAGTGGACAGATACATGATTTTCAACCATTCTTAACATGTTTTGGCAATGAGTGCACCTCTGTAGAAGTGCCCATCCAACATTCGTTTCACTATAAGCAGCTTCAATATTTCAGTAGTTTCCATTCATTTAAACAACATTAAAAATGTTTAAGTCTCGCTTAGCACTGACTTATAAAAAAAACAAGAAAACCCCTAAACCCATCTGACCCAGCCATACCCATCACATGCCATAATCTGCAGGAATTTACACACAATGTCATGAAAGTTTCTTGGTGAAAACCTTGCCTTAAATTAGCAGCTACACAACAAAAGAGTCTCTATGAGGCCAGGATTTCTACCTGATCTTCAGAAATAGCCACTTAAGTAGGTAATTAGCCTTCATGCTATGTAGCTGGTATCTACTTGGCAGAACTGGTAGAATTAAAAGCAATATATGGAAGCCATTGTCAAAGTGAGCTTTTGTTTGTTAAAGTTTACTTTTATCTATGCACATACAAATATTCCAGTCTTAAGTAGGCAAATGCATAACAAAATTTGAGCAGTATGTCTGGTATACTTTAAGCACCACCCTTTATGTTTCCATGTYCATGAACACATAATTGTCCTCACGCTTTGTGGACAAACTACTAATGCCTAATTTGAGTATTTTGTTATGATTGCAATACAATGCATCAAATAGTTTGTGCATGCATTCATAAGAGGTCAACTTATAGCAATAAATAAATTCCTCTCCTTCTCCATGTRTTTTCTGCTTTTTCTTCCATTATATATCTTAAGATCTGTGACCTTCATTTTTTGATAGCTGCTGTTGTAATATCATCCTAACCACCCTCCATTTCCAAAGAAAACAAGCATTTTCAAATCAAAGGGTAAAATAAKAAAAGTGACCATATCTCACCCTGAGATGATACAGCACCACTCCCGTGCTGAGGATATCATCATCCATGGCCATTAGATGAGGTAAATTAGAATCTATTGTTACTCCAGCTTTTTCTTTGTTGATGTCCACACTGTATTCTTCCATGATGGCTTTCCTGTCTGTCCATTTACTTGTCCAGTCTTTGGTCAATTGCTCAATCTTAAATAAGAGAGAGAACTGTTTCACTGACTAAGCAGGTTAATTTTTCTCATTCATACATATCTTCAGAAAGAACAGCATTTTTTTCCAGTTACTAGATGTAAAATTCTTTCACCAATTGCTATGCAGGTTTATTTCTAAGATCAGAAAATTTCTGTGACACAAAAAAAAAGAAAAAAAAAGAAAAAAAAAAGAAAAATTGGGTAAAAACTGTGCTATCACCAAGTAAAACTGATTTAATCTATAGGAGGCTTATTACAGAATGTCAGATAGAGGCATAATCATCTTTAGAGCAAAAAAGGAAAGGATTAAGACTAAAACATTTTCACCGTTTCACAACTATAGCAGTGCTATTCCCCTGGCCTAGTGGAACGGGAGATAGTTACAGCATCAAGTAACATACACACCTTCATTTCATTCTGAAGGACCAGCTCAGTCAGATTTCCATCCCTGTCATCACTCCAAGAGGGACTGGAATTCCTCTGTACAAACAACAGCCACCAAGATCCACATGTTAGTTTTCTTACTCACAACAGGCAGGCATGTTCTTTCACTCTCCAGCATTTCAAGGTGATGAAGTCAAGAGAAGGGAAGACAAAATACACATGCTCCCTTCTAGCATCTAGCCTAATACAAGCAATTTTTGAGGGGTAAAGAACTGGTGAAAAAGTAATAACAGACAATAATTCTGTGTAAGTAAATCCTGGCRTGTAATTCTTGTCTCTCCCAGCAAAACATTCTCTCCATGGCTTGGAAAACCAAGCCACTATTATTCCAACAGAGAAAAATATCAGGGATGTCAGCTGAATTGTGAGGGCTCACAGATGTTCACAACTTTTTGGGGGGTAAAGAGTGTGCAGGCAGTGTGAAACCTCCAACATACTTTTGAGGTTACAATTCTAGCAGGAAAGTTACACAAATTACTCTCTTGGAGATTTTATACCCTTAAAATTAAAATATTTMTATTTTATGGTGTTTCTGGACAGGTAAACCATCCAGCTTCATGGAAGGCAGGCAAGGAAATCCTTCTCAAATCATTATATGACTGCTTATACTTTAGGTTCATCAATATAGTGACAGAAGGAGGAGAAACGACAGAAAAGCAGTTAACCTCATAATAATTGCAAAATCATCCAGAGAACAGTTTAATTTCTCTCCAGTTACAATAAATGAGGAAAGATAGAGAGATGAGATGAAAGTAAGCTATCAAAGCAGCTTCAAAAGCTCCAGTAGGGAAATGTTGCTACATACCAGCTCAAAGCTCATCAGCATAGTTTTCAGCCTATCAATTTCTTCTCTCAGTTCTCTGATCAGTTTCACATTTGCATCCTGAAACATTGAGACACAGACCATTGGCAAAAGCAGTTCTAAGAGAATTCTAGCTAAAGAACTCAATGTGGAGATATTCCAGCAGGCAGGAAGAGAGGAGAACAGGCAAACTCACAGCAGCGCTCTTTGCTTCACTCTGCCAGACCCCTGCCTAAGGACAGGTGGTTCCCAGCTTCCACAGATTCTCTTTTCCCATAAACTTTGTTCCATCTCTCTTCKGAGCTCAGACCTACCACAGCATTTGTTCCCATCATGACTAGCTGGATACATCTCTACTTTCAAGGATTTACCTTCAAAGTAGTTACATCACATCAGAAAGATGCTATTRTTTAATGCTGGTATGTAAAATCCAGCTAGAGCAGCATAAATCAGAATATCATCAAGGATGGTATTAAAAGATMTTACACCTGATACATAAAGGGTTTCCTGCCTGCTTGGATGGAGGCATTTGTCTCGCTTTCAGAGTAGGAATCCCTATGCTGGCAGGTTCTGGAAAACAGCTTTTACAGACAGTTCAGGGAAACTCTTGAGTTAAGAATCAGCTTTCTCTGGGCTGCCAGGTCAATTTGCAGTGACAGGAAGAAGAATGAGGGGCTGGAATTAAGGGCCTAGCATGGGCTGTGCAGGCAGTGATGGGTACACAAGCTGGGAGGCTGAAAGCTGTGTGTGACAGGAGGCTTACCCAGGATTTTAGTCTGACACAGAGCTGAGGACACTGAGCTATTGCTGCTACTATTGATGTCTGAAAACTACTTWTAGGCAACAGTAATTCGGATGCAAATTAAATTTGGGAAAACTAGAACTTCTGCCCAAATTTAAGGTAGTATTGTTAAGAAAGCAAATAGTGAAGTATGTCTCTAAAATTCYATACTTYTAKCTAYAAACAAAAATCTTGATATGCCAAAYCACAAAAGAWTACTACTAAAGCTATAAAGTCAGTGGATTAAAGATTAAGAAATTACTGGAATCAGGACTTTTTTTGAAACCTAAATTCACTGTATATTCCTTAAATGGATGCACTGTGGTTCAGTCCTTAACCTGTGTGRTCACRTGTAATGGCAACCTMATGCAGAATTCGAGGTCTAGAAGGTTCAGCTGGCAGTTTTATTTTTCTAGCATAYTTAAAGSCTTCACTGTTTCGTGTATTAGACAAATTGTTACYACATAGATTACCTCAGGCAGAACTCAAGGCCTCACCTCATTTACTCTGGGCTTGTTAATAATATTTTTGGCATTTGAAGCATATCTCAAGGTACTCATGGTCTCATTGTAGCTGGAGCTGGCAGGTGAGATAGCTACAGAAAACAAATAACATAATTTTAAAAAGCATTCAGTTATTTTTCAAAAAGCTTTTTGTTGGTTTTTTTTTTTTTTTAGTCTTGCTTCTTTAAAAAATGGAACCAAAAAATAACCCTAGGGTCATTTCATTAAGGTCATAGAAAATGTCATCTCCAGCATGTATTTATAGCTGGATAATTCACTTAAAATCAAAGCAATGACCTGGTAAGACTCTCTCAAACATAACTTCAYGCACAATCAGTATGCCTTTTCATTTTCTTGAGTATTCTATGAAGCATTTATGAAATGGACATGAAAAGGACAGATTCTAAGTGATACAACTGTCTTCTCACTGCAGTTGAAGCATATACCAAAGGCACAATGTGGCGCAAAATGTTAAATGGTCAACAGAAACCAAACTCACTGGCAATCATAATGGTCTTGGAGTTGCCCCCCAGACTGTCCTTGAGCAGCCAGGTGAGGATGGAGTCACGGTACGGGATGTAAGCCGGCCGCCTGGTCGCCCCGGCGCTGCCCGAGGSAGGGGTGTCTGTATGGCTGCTCTCCCCTTCGCTCGCGATGCTGTTAATGCTCTGGCAGCTGCTGAACATCTGGGAATTCTGTGCTGAAGGGGAAACACCACAGAGAGCAGGAAAGGGGTGATTTTTTTCTACTGGCTACTTAAATTTTCTCAGCAGTCATTATGGTTCATATGAAGACAGCACATAGCTGCTCTGTCGAGCCTTTCGGTGTAAATGCAAATAAACATTAAGACTCGACACAMAGTGAGTGAGTCACCACAACCCTTCAACATAAAGAACTTTCATCACAACCCTTCAACATAACTTACCTAAAGTGGATATGACAATTCCAAGTGTAACTAATGACTTGTTAATATTGGCACCTTCAGTAATTCTGTCTTTACAGTAACTGGGATCAGCTCTTTCACTGTAGCATGAAAACATGAAAAAGACAACACAAAATAAAGAAAAATGCTTAATTATTAACATACAGTCAATTGAAAACTATGTATTTTAAAGCAATACAAAAAACCAAATTATGAGCTTTGAAACTGAAAAACCCATACGCTGTGAATATTTTATATTGCCCTCTATTCCAGAAAGTGCAAGCAACCGTGAGCAAAGACTGTTAGTGCAAGATCCTGTTAAAGACCCACCAAAACATAAATTCATTGTCTGAACTAGGTAACCCAGTCATAGTGGTTCTGAATTAAAAAAAACAGCATACATTCCATAGCTCCATAAGGGTAGACTGGCTCAGTGCATAAGTCAGAGGGTATGTTCCCTCAATACCTCTTTCTCTGACAATACATGTGTGGCAATTTATGTTCTCAAGGAAGAAAAAGTCCTTTTCTATAAATGTTTTACAACTCTTCAACTCAACTTCCATCTTTCTGTTTTCTGTCACATCCAGCATGCCCATATGTTCCTCACTGAAATGTATAGCACAGATAAGACTTAGGAACTTTGGGAATATAAACATCATAAACAGCAAGATAGGACTGTTTTCTCCTGCCCATGCTAGGCAGCCAGGATGAACACATTCCTTTTTCTCCCTCTCTTTTCGAGCTCAGATTTATTAATTCCAACAATAGCTACTGGAAGAACCACTTAATAAGAATAAAGAGTTAAATGGAATTACTTTAAATGTGCGCAACAACAGCACAGTATTGGATCTGAGGACCCAGGAATTCCCTTCCCCAATGAAAACCAATGCCCAGTACTGAAGAACAGATGACAAAAACAGTATTAGTATAAYATTCCCTGTTATTTTATAAGAAAGTCAGGCTTACTGTTAGTTCAATGAAATTTAAAAATACGAAACTTCATGTTTTAAGGCAGTACTGGCAGCATCTTCAGAGAAATTACCTTTCTGACCTTCAGTATATTATTACCTGCCTGCAAGGTCCACTAAGTTGATCTTGCTTGCAATTTCAGAGGGAAGATTGTTCTCCAGTATTGCCTGAAGAGAGAAATACAAATAAGGAAGATTATTCCACTTAATTAATTAATGAAAATAAAACCGATGTGCTATTTTGTTTGAAGCTGAGTTGTACATATGACTGTTTCACTGCCTTTGTTTGTGACCTTGACKCTCTATGTTCAAACATTAACTCAACAGCTTTCTCACCCCACAGAGAAACCACCCTCTTATGCCAATTTCCTCTTGGAAAAAAACCTTTACTGCCTAGCGACTGTGAAAGGCTTTCTTGTAGATCTTGCAGAGTTATTTTYCTCTAATGTATTCCAAAGGTCTTTTGTGAAACTAAAGAAAAATATCCCAAAATGTTCTGTGATTACAGGATGTTAGAAGTGTGAGATAGAAAAGGTCTATTGGATCACTGAACGACTTCCCTGCCAGGGAAGGATGTAATTCCTCCAGAGAAAGGCTGCATTGTCTCAGGAATAGTACTGGATGCCAAATGCTAAAGAGATGAGCACATCTAAAGAGCTGGACAGAYACAAAATTTTGGTGTAAACTAATGCAGTACTTCAATTAAGAATCCTAAACAAGTGTGACAAACATAACTTCAAACACACTCACATGTAATTTTCATAACACCTGAGAAGAGTTATTGCAATTCAGAGGGCTGATTAAAACTGAAAACATTTCTTTTAAAAGTGGGGATTTGGCATCACTTCTGACTATAAGCTTGCACAAARGAACAAAATACTTCAGTAAACACTCAACACATCTGCAGTGTGATCCAAAGGAAATAAGTAACAGCTTCCACTATTTCTACAAACAGCACAAMATAGTGACAAGTAAACAATGCACAACACAGTGAACAATGCTTCTGAGAGTGAAAAGGAAGTTGGATTATTTTTAGCTAACCTGAGTGTAGTGGATGGTGAAGATAGCATGGGATCTGCTGCTGGCATTGTGAATATGTGTAGATGCTGTGATTCTAGAAGGAAGAACAAAGCATTCAATCACAAAGGGTTACTTCCCTTTATTCAGGGAAATCAAAATCAACAAATACAGCAGATAAATGAAAAAGAAGTGAAACTTGGAGGGTATGGTAGGCTGCATTCTTGGATCTGATCCTAGAGCATTTTGCAGAGAACCTGGAAGGATGGAAACGGAGGATCAATTAGAGGTGTTTTTTTCCACCAGCAGCACTGTGAGGAAATATCTTAAAGCAGCCTTACAGCACAGGTATAAGGTGAAAAGTAYGCAGAAAAAAAGTTTTCCTTTGTTTCACGTATCTGACATAGTTTSAACTTCAGCATTACAAAAACTTACACCTCTGATTTTGGTTTCTTTACATCTTTTATTTCCCTAGCAATGAGACATCYCTAGGATTACACTAATAGACAGCCTGGAATTTTGTTGTACTGAAATAGTCTCTTTTWACCACAAAGTTGCATCTATTAATTGCTATAGGCAGAAACAGCAAAACTTAATCCTGATGTATATTCTATGGGGGTTTTTGTGATAATGCAGCTTAGTTCTTATTTACTTCCCAGCAAGACTGTTACTCTAAAATCTTGACTACTCTTTTATCATAAGATTTAATATAAATCTTGAAACTGTGATTTGCATTTGGAGAAGCCTTTAAAATATAATTATTTTCCATCACTGTAATGGCACTTGTAAAGTTATTCAAAGCTTCTTGTCAAAAAGGTAAAAAAGTGTCTTAAGTAGTGAGAGCCAAAATCATTGCCTTCACCAGTGTTCCAAATCCCACAGTTCTCTGATAGGAAACAAACTAATTGAACTAGGAACTTACAAAAATTAAATTAAACCAATAATTGTAAATCTAGTGTTTTTAGAAAATAAACAAGCACATATTATATTTTCAGCAGGTTTAAATCGCTTAATTACACTACCAAGTGAGTTGAATGCTATCCAGTCGAAAGTATCATGAGCAAGTGAAGGGGAAAAACAGATGTCTGTTTACAGCAAAATGTTTTCTTGGCTTGCATTTTTTATCACAGACAGATGGTGGAATTCTGTGGGTAAGTCAGCGTGGGATCAGTTTTGAAGAAACAACTTCACAAGTGCCTGTAGCTCTTGCTGTGGATGATATGAGGATAGATAACATCTTATGTGCATGGCATACACAGGATCACCAAATCTGGCATCCTCTCATGACAAAGCACTGGCATCAGAGTCAGTAAAATAMACATCAATGAAACCAACACACAGGGAAAACACACATAGAGCTGTTTTGCTATATAGGATACCTTTTAGCTATTCCTTCTTCTAGAAGCTTTACAACTTGCTTGTAGTCCGTTACTAAATGCTGACTCAAACCTGCCAAAAATTCAAGAAGAGTTAAATATTTAGCTTCCTCAGGAAGTTTTATCAGTTTATCCAACAATTTACCCAACATCAGGAGAATAAGGATGTTCTGCTGAGATGACAGTATATTATACATCTTTCAACTAAAGCAAATTTTATTAAAAAACACAACTATTTCATTTTTTAAAAATTAAATAAAAAATTCTAGTTCATCCTTCAGTGGCATTAGCATTAAAAAAAAAGCCTCATACCGTCAAAGTGCAGAACTTTTCCATATGCATAACAACAGTATGTTAAAAACCAGCATAACTTTAACTTCATCATAAATTTTCAGCTATGTCATTGCTACTACTTGGGTACAGATCCTTCAAAGAAGATTTTGGCCATTGTCTCTGGATGATTGCTCTGCTCATGCAACTTACAGAATTAGGAACCAACCCCTGCGAATATTCACCACTTACTTAACCAGGCTTTAGCCTGCACTTGGGAATCTTCATGTACTTTTCTCCTCAGARGGCTTTTGAAGGATCTCCCCAAATAACAATACAAATATCTGGCCTTTTCTTKTCTTTGCCTTTCMGTTTATTTTTGGTTGGGTTTGTTTGSTTTTTAAATTTCATTTTATTTTATTTGTGAGGAGAGGAAAACCCCTCYAAGAAATGAAAGGAATATCACATTCAGAGCCTGCTGTGCTGGAGGGGTCATGACTGAGTGGGGTCCAGTGGAGGGCAGTGTGCTGCTGTGCTGTGGCACTGCCAGCTCCTGGCAAAACACAGATTACAGCACACAGATGAAATTATCCTCAACAGGCTTGTATTTCCAACAAATCCAGTTTAATATGCCTCATCACTGGGGATTATTTATCATTTGTACTGCAGTGACTCCTTAACACCTGAGCTGTTAAACAAGTTTTTGTCATATCACAGCTGGAAAAACACGCCCGTGCAGAATGTTTTATCTCACAATTGGAATCCAGGACAACTTCCTCTCCTCCACAGATTTAGGTTTGAATTGTTTTACTACAGAGCACAAAAGTGTGGGTGAAGGGAAAGTACTGAAAAAAAAATATTTATTTGGATCAAATTACCTACAGCTAGAACGCAAGTCAAAAATAATATGAAATTCAACAAGACCAAAATATGTACTTTTGATGTTGTTAAGAGTGCATCCTTTCATGATAACAGTTTGCTTAACTGTAAATGAAAGCAAAACCTAAACCAAAGAAGAAAATTTACTTTAGTCCTTTAACAGCTGATACACATAAAGGAAAAAAAAGGTTTTGGATCACCCACACTTTTAAAAAAACCCTAACTGCAATGTGCGTGCATGAACACTTGYACACACACAAAGAATAGGACGACTTTCAAACAAAAATATTTCTTCTTCTCTCCAGTGTCTCTTTACAATACATTAATTCCAGAAGTCATCCAATTTTCCATTTGAGAAAGAGGCACGTTATTTTTTTCCAGCAGCAGTGGGATCTTCAAAGCTCAGAATATGGAAACTATCATACATTGTTTTCCCAAACCCCTTCTCAGGGTCTTATTTRACTGCATAAAATGGAGGCATGGCAGAAACTCTTGCCTGCCTACATTTCCCTAAGCACTGGAATAGTGAATCTAGCAGAGTGTTCARAACAGTTGGCTTTTTAATAAGGTTAATGTAATATTTTAAATGCTGCTTGAAAAGAAATGACAAAGTGTTCTGCTGGCTGCCAGAAAAAGAAGGGTCACTTTCAACTCCCATGGAGAGATCAAAACCACTTGCTCGTCTAGAAATCTGCCTCGGAGTAAGAAAGGATCTCCCCCAGAAATCTGTCTCAGAGCAATAAAATAGATTGCATCATTTCCTGATTTAAGAGAGGCCGATTCCTTAACAGTGCAACCATCTGTGAGGGAGAAGTTTGAAACGATTCCAATCCAAAACACTGAAACACTCTCAGCATTTTAAAGGCTGCAATCTCCCAGCCTTTACATGAAAAAAACGATGGGCTGGAAATCACTTAAAATACTCAGTGTTCAGAGCTGGGACTTCCTGACTGGACTTTGCAAAAGGAAAATGCATTTCCCAGAGCATTTAAGTGGCCATAAAGGGATTAAGTTTTCTGGTTTTCCTCTCTGTCTGTTCTTCATCCACYAACTGTACCCTGGATGTCATCGACACCAAACACACATCTAAAACTAATGGCACACCGAGGAGCTCCTGAGAAAAGTCAGCAAACCTTAACAYTGCTGATTGCTTGCAAGAAGTATGATGCAAACACAGATGCTGGTCCTTAACTTGCTTGATCTACAAAAAACAATGGAAAATTTCTGAGCTTTGCTGAGGTTCACCAATTTAATTTCTCCCATACAGTAAATTGCCTGGAAGAGAAACACAAAATGAACTCTCCTCCTTCTGGTAAACTTGCTGATAATTTTGATCTCAGCTGTCTAGCTATTTGAAATAATATTCTTGCACTCTGATCCTGCACAGAGAGACTACATATAACATTGCCAAAGTCTACTTCAGCACGTAGAAGGTCTTCAGGCAGAGCKCAGCGATTTTTGATTGCAGCAATACATTGGTGCGGTTGTGAACTCTTCACAAGAGGTTTTCTTCAATCTGATCTTATCAAAATCAAGCTGCCTGTACTCCTTACTTGCACTCAAATCACTGCTGCTTATTTTTGACAGGAGCTAAGGAATGCAGTTSCATCACACAATGAGTCCCTCTCCTCAGCAGGACTGTCTCAAGTAAAGCAAACTGTCACAGCTCACAATTGCACACAGTGCACAGGCAAATTTATTAATATATGTTTGTATACACACATCTAATAAAAAGAACTGCCATCTGTTGCCCTAAGCCACCGACTCATCAGCCTGAAATCACTTCTGCTCACAGGGTCTCACAACAGCATCTAATTACACCCATGATGTCTTCAGCAGAGAAATTACTTCATTTTTCATGCRTGTGATCAGTTCTTTTAAAAATGTGAATCACACTATTGAAAATAAAATTTTTCTTACGGGCATTAACATGATATTTTCAGGCTGTCATAACATRCAGTAGGGAGAGAATCTTCTAAAATAAATGATACAAACTGAGTTTACAGCTGTGGCCAAAAGTGGGAAATATTTAGGTTTATCTTTTGCCTTCATCTTTTCCTCTTACTTTAGAAAATCTAATCAACTGGGAATTTTTATGGTATATTTCAGAACTCTAGCATACAGTTGTTCCAATATTTTCAGTTGTGTCCAAGTATAAAATCCTTATTCAAAATGTGTAAATGAAAAAAGAACAATAAAAACAAACAAAATTCCTCAACCTCCAAAACAACAACAAAAAAAAGCCACAACAGAATTGAAAAAAAAGTGACAGAATTGGCCTGGAAGGTTYCAGATGAAGACAAAATAGTGACAAAAGGCAAGCCAGCCCATTGGCAGAAGCTGTAACTTTATTTTCTTTTAAAACAGGGAAACTCCATTATATGCAGCCAAGGAATCACTGGAGATATAAGGCCTGAGAAAAGGGATGGGACTGCCAAGGAAGGAAGTAGTTTAAAGACCTTTTCTTGTGTGGTGAATGAGCAGCTGCTAAAAGAAAATAATTAGTATCTGTACTCCATCAACAATGAAGTTCTCCAATAACAAGCAGGTAGAAAGAGAATTTTGGAAAGCCCTCAATAAAAGCCAAATGTCTACGAATCTGCTTTCCAAACAATTATAAGTTTGCCATACTAATGAGATCAACAATTCAKCTGCTTTCCAAGCAGGATGCTGATGTGCTGGGAAAGCACAGCTGAAGGCATTGGAATGTCAGACAGATCCTTGTGTACAGGACCATGAAAGATCAACCCTTTGCAAGAGCTGATTTCAAATTTCGAGAGGAGGAATTGATAGCAACCACTGGCTGTTCGATGTGCTATGGCCAACACAGAAAGATCCCAGGAAAACAATGAGAGAGAAGGCAAGAACTGAAGTAAGAAAGACAACTGAAAGGGGAAAGAGTATGTTTTGATTTTTCATCTGTTCTCTGTCACAGGATATGAAAGCTATGGTTCACTAGAAAACAAAAAACCACCTAAGGGGCTGTTGTTACAAGTTKWGGAAAATACAATATAAGAMAGAYACAAAGCTATTAGAGAGCATGCAAAGGAAGGCTACMAAGCTGGTGAAGGGTCTGGAGGAGAAGCTCTGTGAGGARCAGCTGAGGTCACTTGGTCTGTTCAGCCTGGACRAGACTGAGGGGAGACCTCACTGAAGGCTACACCTCCGTTATGAGAGGAAGAGGAGGGGCAGACACTGATCTTGTCTTTCTGGTGACCAGTGACAGGACTTGAGGGAACAGCATGGAGCTCTGTCAGGGGAGGTTTAGGTTGATATTGGGAAAAGGTTTTTCACCCAGAGGGTGGTTGGGTACTAGAACAGGCTCCCAGGGAATTGTTCACAGCACCAAGCCTGACAGAGTGCAAGAAGTATTTGGACAATGCTCTCAGGCACAGGGTGTGACTCTTGGGGGTGGTCCTGTGCAGGGCTTGGAATTGCACTTTGATGACCCTTGTGGGTACCTTCCACTCAGGATATTCTGTGATTCTGTAATTCTATGAATTTAAAAGCCTGCGATCTTTCTAATCATATAATGCACKTCCATTACCCATCCTGTGCTTTTTCAGTGTAATGAACTAAAATCAAGCTTATTAGGTTCTCACTTGAGTGAGATTTTCATYGCTTCTCATGGCCTGCCCTGCAACATTAGTTGAATTTATCTACTTTTCTTTTTTTTTAATTTTAATGTATTTTCCACTGCTAAGGTATGAAACAGGCATGAAGGGACCTTAGACTGAACCCATTTGGTGMTGGCTGATTACTAGATTAATATTTCTTTGAAATAAAAAAAAGCAAAATACTGTGGCTCCCATACAACCTATGCCTGGAAAGGCAAAAAATTAAGGATATCCAGCCAGTCAGATAACAGAGGCAAAGCTTTCAGCGTGCTGCAGCTGATCATCTAACAAGAAAAACATTTGAGAAAAGTAACCCTTGAAGGGCAGGAACATTTATGATCACTGCAGGAATATGTGCAGACACACACACACACACACACCTGAGACACATTTCCTTGCAGCTCTGACACCAATTGTGAAGCTCACTCTCACCTTGTACATATGGTCCTGTTTCGGGGTGCTCCCGAACTCGCAGTGTGTAGGGTTTCTTTCGGTCCGACTGTTTCAACAGATCTCGGACACGCTCATTATAAATTTCAAGGAAACTGAAGAGAGAAAAAAAAAAGTGAAAGCTAAGTGCACTCAATTAAAAACAAAACAAAAGGAGAAACTGCATAGACAATGTAACTGTCTGACACTTACATAGATTTTTCACACTAATGGGCTCAAATCCCCAAATTTCCAAGCACAATGCTTTATTAGATCCAAGAGAATGATGAATAAGAGCAGAATGTAGGATTATGGCTCAAATTTAGAAGTTAAACAAAGGAAGTAAACTTTCACAACATTTTTATTTCAGCTGTTTATACAAAGGTGAACAGACAGCATCCAAAGAACTATACTTAGATAGAAAACTAAACCCAATAGTATCTCATCATTCCTCTGTGTTCTCCTCCTTACCCCAAAGTGATCATCTAAGAAAACAGAAACAAAAGAAACTACTCTTTTCTTTGTTTGATCACAGGAATGTGTTGTTAAAAGCTTTCAAATTGTTGTCCAAAACAGTGACACACTTACCTGACCTTTACCCTGCATGATGCCGTCTGGTCTGAGTAATCATCCTTCCTTGAAAAGAGGCCCTTCACAAACCAGAAGTTTATGTAAATTTAAAATACATTAAGAAAACTCTAACTGCTTAAAAAAATGCAAGTGAAGAAAAAAAAATACCTCACATATACGAGGTGTCAGCCCAATGGATGCCTTCAAATAATAAACAGAAAAAAAAATTAAACATATTTGCTAATACTCATGCAAAAACTGTTTTTAAATAGAAACCAAGTTATAAGAAAAGGACAGAATCACAGTGCAGTAATGACTGTATGGTGGATTGCAACAGCCAGGGAGTGTAGTTCAGAACAGCATGGCTATTTATAGGAAAAGCAGTTTTAGAGCAATGTACACAACATTGACAAGAAGGTTAAGGGCTTGGGTTAAATCCAAAAGCTGTTTGAKGCACAGATACTGCACATGCCCATGTCAGAGGTGTTGCAAGGTAGATGAAGCCAGGCCAGCACTGAAACTAGCTTGGTTGGTCATGGTTTTTCCTTATTCTACTTTTATTTCTTTATGCAATACATCACAGAGGAAGCTTGGAACAGCATTATAATCTAGATTTATAAATTTTGTCTCTCAGAGAGGACAGGAAATAGGGCTSCTACCAATATCCAAACTAGGTGATCTTAACTTTGCCCAAAGAGTCTACAAAGCACTGAGGTAACGGTGTGGTTTTATGCGATGACTTATTTTGATATGACTTTGGTGACTTTGGTGACTGCAGTGCCAACACAACCTGGGAAAGACACCAGGGCTGAGGTGGATTCTGTTTGCTGAATTGCATGAAAGAGGGAAGGCTTGATGCTAAGGGAAGAAAATTCGCGTTCAACAAGTGGACTGCCATGGATGAAAGTTCAGTTTATACCAAACACTTGTTGGAACACTGTTTCACAGTAAATATGTATTATTAAAGATCAGAACAAAGCAGTATTTTACTGAAGAAAGAAATTAYTTTTAAAGCAAGAAATCTCTTAGAAACACAGCATCCAGAAATTTCCTTGAAAATAATGATAATTTCAAGATGTAGCCATTCTCAATTGTTAAGATATTTTCAAAATAGTGTAATACAAGTATGTAGTTTATCACCTATCAACCTCAGTCATAACAAATCTTCAGGCTTCCATGGTGTAAAGTTTGATTTCACATAAAATTAATAGAGAATCKGGTAATGATTTAACAAAATCCTATTGTTGATGTCTGCTGAGAAAATAAAATTTTAAAAATCCARACTCYAGTCAAAAGCACAAAYTSTGCTAGAAWAGGCTTTCCCTTTTCTTGGGGGTTTAAATACATTTGGCCCTTATTTCACCTTGAAAACTGAATCCCAYGGAAATAGGAAATACTGGTCCAATTATGGAAACTATTAAATCAGCCTTTTTTCCTTTTTAGCAGCACATTTCACCAAAAGCTAAAAATATTTATAGACAACAATCAAATTGCCTCGATTTGCAGAAAAACACAGGAAATCATCATCTGACTCTGTCAATCCGAGAAGCAAGATTAAAATGCACTTTAGGTGATGCCTAGTAGGTAATCTTAAAATGTAACAGCTTCTGCAAATTTACTGAAATATATGTCAAAACTGGAAGTGAAGTACTAATTTCCATAGGCCAAATATTCCAATAATCAAGCCTGTTACAAAACTATTCCTGTGAATTGTATCCTGTTTTATTTCTGAAAGTAATGTAATTTCAGGMTAGTTCAAACTGTCAAAATATGGCATAGGAATGAATACTTTGTATTATCCTGGGCTACAGTTTCTAAAACCCAGAACTATTTCAGGTGATTGATTTTTTTTCTTTTTTTTTGTCCTGTAACTTGGTGGTAAGATTCATGCATAGTAAGATGATTCTGTAATAGTAAACATTTAGATTATACCATACTTTCTAATATTTTAACCTATTTTTACCTAAATGTAAAGGCTCATATTTACACATTGAAATACCAAATAAAACATATGTAACCATTCTGCTCAACAAGCACAATAGTTTAAAARTAAAGCAATGTTTCTGCTGGACATCCTGCCCACAATCCTAAGTTTAAAATGAATAGTGTAACTCACAGGTGTCCCCATCATTGTGTAAGTTTTTCCTGAACCTGTCTGTCCATATGCAAAGAGGCAGATGTTGTATCCTCTAAATGCACCAGACAACACAGAAGTGCCGAGGTCCTGGAACACCTGAAATGACCAAGAGAAATAAAACAGTCCGTGAACAATGTGTCTCCCTGTAAACCCTCTGCATTACTTGCAGATCTTGTTCCTTTAATAACTCCATGGGAACAAGGATCTTCACAGCATTTGTCTTTCAGATTTATCAGTCAATGTTAAATACTCAGCACTCACTTGCTCARTCTTCCTTTAAGCTTCTGTTATGCCAAGCATCATCCTGACAAGGAGCAGTAGTGTCTGAGTGCTTCCCTGCTATCTCTTGTTTTATATTCAGACTACATGAATTCTTGAGGATCTTCCCTATCCCAATTTTTTACAGTTCTCATCACAAATCTGACAGAAAGGCATGATCAAGGCTCTTGGATGTGATGACATTAATATGGCACCAGATTTACAGGTGAGAAGCAAAGCTCAGTCCAGCCTGTGTGCAGACCTCACCCAAGCAATATTTCTGTCCGACCCATCTGGTCACTAAGTGACACCAGCAATGGCTCCATGCTTTGTCTTCTCTTCATGCCAAACACAGAGTGATGTGCCTTTTTCTGCTCAGTGCGTTACAGAGCCAGCACYTGTTACCACCAAAGCAGTGTCAGCCCCTCGTGACTCCCAAAGCTTGCACTGGTCCTACGGTGGCTGCTGAATTTGGGCCAACACTGCCAAACTCCCCGTACAGCAAGATAGGAACAGCCATTCCTTCTTCTTTCCCTCTCCCTTTTTTGGAGCCACAGCTGGCTGACATTGTGACCAYGTTCTCAGGACATCAAAGCCTTGCCCCAGACCAGCTGAAAGGACACCTCGTAAGGTTTGCCAGGAAGGGAATTGTGGATCAAAAGGTTCCAGCAGGCAGGCTGCCAACCCCTTTGCATGCTTTGGCCTGGCAGAAGAGATGCTACAAGTATTAATGGTTTCGCTGTTCACACAGAAAGCTGGCTAGTGTATAGAGAGAGAAGCACAGGATTTCAGTGTTCYGCTGCTGAGAAATCTCATCCACTGCTGGGTGCCACTGGGTTCTCCAACAGACAGATAGATGTACTAAAACTGACACAACAATCAATACAAAAAGAAAACCCAAAAACATAGATATCACCACTTAACCTRAACTGCTGAGAAAGCAGATTGAAAACCCTCTCCTGCGACTTTAATTTTCAGATAATATTTCAATGAAAACTAGGACAAGATGCTAATTTCCAGCTGAAGAATCAACAACATTCCTATGTGGCAAAATCTGACTACCCTGTCTGTATTTGTAAAGGTATGTGTCCCGTCAGAGTATCTGCTTCTCTAGGATTATCAGCTCAAGAAACTTCTCCATTCAAAGCATAGAGAGAAAGCCACAAACAAAACTCAGGGAYACAAATGTAACAGACAAGGGATTAAAAAAATGTGAATATAGGGGCAGGAAGAAAGAATCTGATCTAAATTCAAGGTGGCAAGAATTAAACCTGAAGACTGACAGAGGACTGGAGTAACAACTGGGTAAAATAGCAACAACTGAGAACCAGTGAAAGAATGAAGAAATAGACAATGCCACCAGGAGGAATCTCTGAATAAGCAGAAATTAAGGGAGGAAAAGTGGGATTAGTATTCATTAGGAGCAACAAATCATTGGGAAAGAGATTGAGTTTGGAAGCTAYGGTGCAGAAAACTGTTCTGTTGAGTTGTTACAGTAGGTGAATAACAGGGGCAAAATTGTGAAAGACAGGCTTTTGTAGATCTAGAGTGCAGAGGGTGAGATCTGGGGCAAACTGAATGAGCCTGAAGTCAAGCAGTATGAAGGTCTAGGAAATTACAGGATGGATTATCTTAAAGTAAGGAGAGCAAGGCAATACTGTGCTCACTTCAGAGTATAAACATTAAATAAATTCAGGAATTTTGCAATGTCTCATTGTACTAAAACCAGCTGGAGTACTCCATATGAATTTAGAAATCCATACTTCACATGCTAGGACCTCTTACAACAGGGATAAATGCAGCCTAGAGAAGTATCTTGTTTTTGTGATAGTTTCCTCATTAAGTGCTGTCCWCTTTTCTGAAGGTGAACAACAGATCTTGGAGAGTTTGTAACTGAGCTAAGTACAATAAAATGAAATCCTCACAAGGTGGCAAGCTTTCAGGATAAGCAACACTAATCAATACCACCTGGACACTGAAGCTGTTTTTTCACAACAACAGCATTTTACTTCTAGCTCTAACTTTTGTGTGACATTGTGCAACTCATTTAACATTTTCATCGTTCAACTTCCCCACAGTTAAAGTAGGAAAATGCTATCCTTAAGTAGAAAATTGTGGCATGTTCTCCCTAGTGTTCATAAAACTCCTTGTGATTTTAGAACATCCACAGCAATTTAAGCCAACTGTGCAAATGACTGGGCATGCCCTCTCTCCAATAGCACCTTGGGCTCTCTGAAAGAACAGCCTCTAACCCCAAAATCTCAGTTACAGCTGTTACATTTACTCTCAAATACACATGGCTACTCAGACTCTTTAATTTAATTAAGTTTCAAATCAAACTTTCTGAATTAGGCCTCAAGAGAAGACATAAAATACAAGCAAAGCTGAATACTCTGGAAACACTGACATAACCCTAGGACRGCAATGCATCAGAATTTTWAAAAATTAKTTACTGAACTTCTATTAAAAGCTGATTTGTACTGTTTTGGTTTTGTTCTTTCTGGTTAATTTCTCTCCTTTTGTGAGGATAAATTACAATTAATTTAATTGAGTATAGTCTCAATTTAGATAGAAAAGCCTCTTTGTCTTAGTGCACTGCAGAAAAAAATGGAGAAATGAAGCACAGAAATGAATTTATTACTTATTCGAAAATGAAGGASAGTCATTGAAATCAAAGCTTTTTCTAATATCAGAGGCACTAGTCCAAATACCCATCWGCAACAGCAGTTGCAGATCATACAAAAAGCCCCATAATTACTCATTTTGGGCATATGTACTAACATATTTCGTGATCTAATAGATTGATTCCCAAGTTTTGTTTATCATGAGGTGGGGGCTGRGAGGGAAGGAAAGACAATTCTTCTGGGATTCTTCCAAGTGTCACATTTGAAATGAAACTCCAGGAAGATGAGGTTTTCCAAAGAACATGAGTTGGCTGTGGCTTCCTGCAGAGAACACAGCACTTGGCGGAGGCAGCGATGTTTTGCTGCACGGCTGCTCTGYGTGACTGGCACTGCTCACTTTGTTCCAGGCAAGAATGAGTCTGTCAAAAAAGCCCTAAGTGGCTTTGCCATGTCTGTCCCYTGCACTTGCCCAGCTCTATGTGGTCCCTATCCCATGGTGATCCGTGAAATATTCTACGATTTATTACTTGCCAACAGTCCCAACAGTGGGAAAATAAACCATGCCTTTTTGAGTAAGTTATGAGAGGGAATTGAGACAACTGTCAAATTACAACCATTGAGTTAATCCTATTTAAACTGAAGGCTATGAATAGTGGCTAGATATTTTGTTTGAAATATGAATGTATTAAAGGTCAAATGAATGGGCCGCTCTGCAAACAACCTCTGAAACTCTTCTAGGAATCAAAAAATCATGAAGTATAAACTGATGTCGCATGGAACACAAAATAAATCCACACCAAAAATTTGCAGTTAGTATCAGGTCATCCCTGACAAGAAAATCAGGATTTATTAATCATTTCAAAGGAAAATAAAATTTGATAAAACAGCAAACTGAGATGTGGTTTTGGGTTGTTTCTTAAGGAGTGCTCAAGAATTTTAACCTTCCCACAAAGATAATTTTAAAAATAACATATGAAGAATATTAATTGGAAACGTACCTTGTCTTACCAAAAGATAAAAAAATTGGAGGAGTTCAAGAGATTTTAAAGGAAGGATACCACTTGTCTAAGGAAACAGTAAGAACTAAGTGAGAGAAGACATTACTTATCTCTGTCACACAAAATTTTATAAAAAGAGCTTCACAATATTAAAATAGTAAAACTCTTCCTTTTTAGAAATTTGGAACGTGCTTTGCAATTAAGCTTGTGGGTAATAAGCGTGACAACCTTTTTCTCTATCAGGAGATTTATAAGAGGGGGGCAATAATCTGTTCTGATCCTTTCCCATTTGAACAGCAGAATCAGAAATCTTCTCTCARCTCTCCTTTGCTAGCTTAAAAGGCAAAATTTATAGTGGGTTTTTTTACATCCCTAAATAATGAATTTTCAAGATACTAAAAAATACCTTATTTATTGGCCTGAGATGGTATCATATTTTGTCAGATTAGACCTGCATGCCTGTGTATAAATATGCATTAGCAGACAGATGACTGTATTTTTTCCTGCAATATATTTTGTCCTAGTGCTAAGAAGTAAAATGTGGCATAGAGCATATGCAGTTACTCACAATAAGTGAAAGACTTTTCAGATTTTTTTATTAACAGTGATGATTTGATACTTTAGTTTACATTCCAATTTTTGCTTAGATATTAAAAGTGTGAAGCTTTTTGTTTTCCAATTCTGTTTTAAAAGGTCTATTTATCTATAAAACAAAAGTTTTAGCATATTCTTTTTCTCTCAACTGCCTGTGCATATTATAAAGACTTTTTTTTCTTTTATATTCTTTGACTTCTCAGTTATTATCAAACCAATGGCCTGTGGATAACCCCTTGAATATATAACCTCTCTGTGACACACACAAAGACAGACACAAGCGTGTTGACTGACAGTTTTTCTTTTGTTCCTCCAAAAGTTTGGAGATAATTAAACTCTTCTTTAATGCATGTGATTCAAATTTATCCTACTGACTGTAACATGAGGCTCAGTTAATATCAGTACCTTGGGCTTTCTTTGATTTACTGTGCATTGAATAGACACATAACTACTACAGCTGATGACCACAAACATATTTTACATTGTAAGTGGAATGAACTATCTTTATTCTCTGATCGTGTCCCTCTTAAAATAATAAATGCTTTTATTTTGAAGATAATGGGGTCATTCTATCAGAATGAAAGTTTGGCAATATGAATTTCCTGAGCATAAAACTTCTTTT